TCCCGGATGACCCTGAGATCCTCATGCAGCAGGGAGAATTCTTAAATTACGATATGCTCATCGGTGTCAACCAAGGAGAGGGCCTCAAATTCGTGGAGGACTCAGCAGAGAGCGAGGACGGTGTGTCTGCCAGCGCCTTTGATTTCACAGTCTCCAACTTCGTGGACAACCTGTATGGCTACCCAGAGGGCAAGGATGTGCTGCGGGAGACCATCAAGTTTATGTACACAGACTGGGCCGACCGGGACAATGGTGAGATGCGGCGCAAGACCCTGCTGGCGCTCTTTACTGATCACCAGTGGGTGGCACCAGCCGTGGCCACCGCCAAGCTGCATGCCGACTACCAGTCCCCTGTCTACTTTTATACCTTCTACCACCACTGCCAGGCTGAGGGCCGGCCCGAGTGGGCAGATGCAGCGCACGGGGACGAGCTCCCCTACGTCTTTGGTGTGCCCATGGTGGGTGCCACCGACCTCTTCCCCTGCAATTTCTCTAAGAATGATGTCATGCTCAGCGCCGTGGTCATGACCTACTGGACCAACTTCGCCAAGACTGGGTGAGGGCCAGAGGGGCTGGGTGGGGCACCATGCAGGCCAAGGCACACACACTCTCCACCTTTAGCACCTTCTCTTTCTCACTCCCTCACAAGCCCATCATCCCTACATTATGGCACTCTTGCCTTCTCGACTCAGACACCTGCTGGGACCTTCTCCGTGCCAGGCATTGAGTTGCGTGTTGGAGATTCAGCAGAGTTAAACAGAGAGGTCCCTGTCCTTTCTGGGTGTGGGTTCACTTGGTGGCTTTGGCTCCATGTCTGTCTCTTCTTTGCTGCCTGGCCTAGTCACCCTCTCTCTTTCTCCTCCCAGTGCTCTGCCCTCTGTCTGCTGCCATCTGTGTATGAGTATGTGTGAGGGTTTGTGTCTGTCTGTCTCTACATCTCTCACTCTTGAAAGCCATTGATATCTCGCTCTTTCCCCTTAATCTGCTTTTTGCTTGCTGATTTTACCCTGGTGTCTTTCATGTGTCTTTGTCTTTCTGTTTCTATATTGTCTCTAGCTCACTCAGTCTCAGCCTCTGCCTCTCTCACTGGCTATCTCTGTCTGTCTCTGCCTGTCCTCTGTCCCTCTGTCCTCATCTCTGGCTGTCTCTAATGGTCTGTCTCCTTCCCTCTTTGTTTTACCGTCCCTGTTTCTGGCAATTTCTCTCTCTCCCCATATCCATCTCTGTCTTTCTGCCTCTCTCTTCTTCTCTGACTTTCCTTCTGTTGCCCTGGCTCTCTGCATCTCTGTCTCCCTGGCCCCCCCACCTTCTCACACCTGTTGGAACCTCACCCTCACACCTTTCCCTGCCCTCCTGTGCCCACAGTGACCCCAACCAGCCGGTGCCACAGGACACCAAGTTCATCCACACCAAGCCCAACCGCTTTGAGGAGGTGGTGTGGAGCAAGTTCAACAGCAAGGAGAAGCAGTACCTGCACATTGGCTTGAAGCCACGCGTGCGTGACAACTACCGTGCCAACAAGGTGGCCTTCTGGCTAGAGCTTGTGCCCCACCTGCATAACCTGCACACAGAGATCTTCACCACTACCACGCGCCTGCCTCCCTATGCCACGAGGTGGCCGCCTCGCCCGCCCCCCGGTGCTCCGGGCACACGCCGGCCCCCACCACCTGCCACTCTACCACCTGAGCCTGAGCCCGAGCCAGGCCCCAGGGCCTATGACCGCTTGCCTGGGGACTCCCGGGACTACTCCACAGAGCTGAGTGTCACTGTGGCTGTGGGCGCCTCCCTCCTCTTCCTCAACATCCTCGCCTTTGCTGCTCTCTACTACAAGCGAGACCGGCGGCAGGAGCTGCGGTGCAGGCGGCTCAGCCCCCCAGGCGGATCAGGCTCTGGTGTGCCTGGTGGGGGCCCCCTGCTCCCTACCACTGGTCGAGAGCTGCCACCAGAAGAGGAGCTGGTGTCACTGCAGCTAAAACGGGGTGGCGGTGTTGGTGCGGACCCTGCTGAGGCCCTGCGCCCCTCCTGCCCACCCGACTACACCCTGGCCCTGCGCCGGGCACCAGACGATGTGCCTCTCTTGGCCCCTGGGGCCCTAACCCTGCTGCCCAGTGGCCTGGGACCACCACCTCCCCCACCGCCACCCTCCCTCCATCCGTTTGGGCCCTTTCCCCCACCTCCCCCCACCTCTACCAGCCACAACAACACTCTACCCCATCCCCACTCCACTACCCGGGTATAGGGGACAGCTTGGGGGGGCCCTCCTCCCCAGCCCTCCCACCGGCAGGAAGTGCCACTTGGAAGGCAGGGAGGAGGACTCAGCAACAGGCTTTTCTCATCACACGTGGAGGAACATTAGGTGGACATGGGTCTCCTCACCAGGATGCGTGTTTCCCATGCATAGAGGCCCATTTTCTTCTCTGGACCTGGGTCTTTGAACAAGTGGGGGGTGTTTTGTCCCCTCCATTGGGACACGTCTTTGGTGTGTGGAAGCGTGCAAGGATTTTCCCACGTGGAGGTGTGCTTTCTCACAAGGGGGGTGTGTTTTCCCATGTGCAGGGTGAGGTTTTTTTTGCCGCCCTGGACACATGTTGGCCCCCTCAAAGAATTTCTGCGGGGATTTGTACCCCAGAATCATATTCCCTCATGCCTTCTCCCACCTCCTCTCCCCTCCCCATCCCATGGAGACCCTGGAAGTGGTGTGTTCATGTATAGTGACCCTTGGCCACAAGATAACACAGGGTGGTTCTTGGGAAGTAGTGAGGAAATCACAGCCCCCCTCCTGCGCCCCCCCCCCCAGAAGCATGTTTTTCCCCCGTGGCACAAGTCAGGTGAAGCACGGTCTCCCGGGTAGGCCTTGCCTTCCATAGATGACACACAGATCCCTGCCCAGGGACACGGGAGATCCATGGGTCCCTGTATTGCCTGGGAACTTGTTTTCCCACAGGTCCAGGGCATACTTCTCTAAGTGGAAACATGTTCTTGCATGTGGATGTGTGTTTTCCCATGCAGATGGTCCCTTTCTCTCCAGTACTTCCCGGTACCCCTCAGGACCAGCACCTAATTCCTCCTGACACAGAATGTGGGAACAGGCTTCAAACTGACAGAAGCTGAGGGGGATGTATAAACCCTGAGGGGACAGCTCTGTTCCTCCCTCCCCCAGAGATGCTGCGTTGGGGGTTGGGCATGGGACTTGCCACCCATAGAGGCCATGCATGTTTGACCAAAGCCCTCATTGGGGTCTGAGGACAGCCTTTCCCTCAGTCCTCAGACCATTACTCATCTGTGCCAAACTGGGTAGGGGCGTTTGCCAAGGATTCCCCAGTCCTGGGCCAGAGCAAGTAAATGTGGGAATAGGTGGGATACAGGGGAGGGGGAGGTGGCAGCTATTGGGGTCCTACCTGTGTCTCTCTTCTATCTTCACCATGACTCAACCCTCCCTCTGTGCCTCAGTTTCCTTTTCCCATATCTTTCTCCCTCTTTGAAGCCACCCCTATGTCTCAGTGTCAAACCAGCTTCTCCCCTCAGCTGCCCACTCCCTTTTTTTGACCTGCCCCTCCTCCCTCAGCTGCCAAGGCTGAAGGAAAGGAGAGGTGAAGGGTGGAGGGGAGGAGAGGAAGAGAGAAAGTCTTCATGGTTGGGGAGAGAATGAGGTCAGCTGTACTGAGGAGCAGATGGAGGGGCAATGAGGGACAGGTCTTGGTCAGACACCAGCCAGAAGAATTTGAAAGGACATGTGTAAGGTGACTGCCCAGAGGGGACCTGGGCCTATAAGGAAAAGAACTTCGTCAGGAAGGGTTTTAAGGGATACCAGTGGAGGAGAGAATCCTTGTCTGCTGGCATTTTGTGATTGTTAGTGCCAAATTTGAGTAGGGGGTAGGGTGCTGTTTTCCACTGACACCCAGATCCAGAATCCCTAGTCTTGGCTCCCCAGAACTTTGCCTCTTGACCATCCCTTCTCCCACCTCCACCCATGGAAACTTATTTTCCCACCCCTTCTCCTGCCTGGTCTAGTTCCTCTCCAAACAGCCATGCCCTCTAAATGCTAGGGACCTGGGCCCTGAACCCTATAGACAGATGTCCCATAAATTGGGGCATGGGAGAGGGGCTGGGGGACCCCATGATTCAGCCACGGACTCCAATGCCCAACCCCTCTTCCCAGAACAGTTCCCTGACAAGCCCTTCGCAGCTCTGTACACATTTTTAAACCTGGCAAAAGATGAAGAGAATATTGTAAATATAAAGTTTAACTGTTGGTTGTGCCTGCTGTGACGTTAGGAGGTGGGGGCAGGGGACTCTGAAGAAACAAGCCTTGGGGATGTGACTGCTGATGAGGGAGGTCTGTACCCACAGCCCTTTTCAGTGAATAGCTCTGAGGTCTGAAAGAAAGGGGGAGTGGGTGCTGAGTAAGGTTGCCATGGTAATGGGGCTATTTAGGGAGTTACGATTAGAACCCACCCTGGCTGGATGGCTCAGTTATTTGGAGCATCATCCTGTACACCAAAAGGTTGCAGGTTCGATTCCCAGTCAGGGCACATACCCAGGTTCTGGGTTCGATCCCTGGTCAGGGCACATATGGGAGGCAACCGATCGATGTTTCTCTCTGTTCCCCCATTTCCTCTCTCTAAGTATACCCTTGGGTGAAGATTAAAAAAAAAAGATTAGCATCCATGTCTGTGCAGAGGACTGAGCCTGGTGTAGAAAAGGACCAAATGGGCCGACGGGGACAGACACCAGGCAGGCTAGAGAGCCTAGCTAGTCCAGGTAGCTGGCTACAGGACAGGCATACAAAGTGAAGGGTTTGGCTTCTGCCAAGGTCTGGGCCCACGTTGGAGGGTTAATCCGGGGCTCAGGACTCTCCCTCTTGGCACATTGTGAGGGAGAGCCCAGCATCATTGTGACCCGCTTACCCCCAGGAGCCTCTGGGACAGGCAGGCAGGCTGCTGGGTGCTGTGGCACAGTGGGTTGGGGGCCTAGGGGCCCCGGTGGCCCTAGGGACCCCCATGGCCATGGCTGAGCAGCCATGGCCCAGCTGTGCCTCGCATTATAGCTCCAACACCAACAACTGCCAGGACCTGGGCAACTCCATCCTGTTGCTGCTGGGCCTCATCATCTGCATTAACATTGGCATCAATATGGTGACGCTGGTCAGGGCAGGGCTGGGAGGGAGGGTGCTGGTAGGGTGGCTGGGGGGCAGGCCTGGTGGCCAGGGCCTACCTGGGGTCACTGTGCCCTTCCCCCAGCTCTGGCGCAGACTCCGTGGCTTCTTGCACCACATGTTCTGCAGTATTGTTTGTGAGAAAGGTAAGCTGGCCTGGGGGTTAGAGTGGAGGTGGGACAGATACCAAGTGTTCTAGCCCTTGACCCTAAGCTGGCCCCATTCCCTCCCGCCCTCCCATCTCAGATGCCATAACTGTGCAGCTTCTCTCCCCAAACCCTGCTCTCCACCCCTGTAAGAACCAGTATTCCCTTCAGCCTCTCACCTCTTCCCTATCCACAGAAGCTTTTAAGTCATCCTCATCTAGAAAGAAGACCCAGCCCCCAAAGCAGAGCTCCCCTGCAGTCCACCTTCGATGCACCATGGACCCTGTGAAAATGACCGTGACCCCCCCACCCACTCGCCGCCATGGCCATCGAGGCTCATCAGCACGCCGTGCTTACTACCCAAGAGCATGGGCCCCTGACACTGACGATGAGGAGGAGAAACTCCCTCATCGGTACCCAGCAATCTGCTCCCACAACTGGGATTGCCCCTTGGAATGGGAAGGCGTCCACTCCTCCCAGGTGTTCTGGGCTCCCTGGGCCCAGGACACTGTGGAGCCGCATTCCCAGACCATTCGCTTCCAACAGACCATGGAGGGAAGACCTCTCGGAAGAGAGATGCGGTCAGAGCTGGGCCTAGAGGCCTATGTGTACCCTGTGAACCCCCCACCCTCCAGCCCGCAGGTCCTGAGCCACAAGAACAGTGGAGGGCGGGCAGGGGCCGAGGGGGAGCAGGAGAAGTGCTCACCTGCCCCCCCAAGCCCACCACCCTTTAAGGGTCCAGCATTTGTCCCAGATGTCCCCCGGCGCCCCTCCTCGCGCCGCATAGAGTATGATGCCCTAGATGTGAGGCGGCGTCTTCGAGAGCTGACCCAGGAGGTGGAGGCTCTGTCCCACTGTTACCCCATGCCCTCCAGATCCAGCACTGCTGAGGGAATGGACAAGGACTGGGTATACCATCCCCTGATAGAGAGGTGACTGGGAGAAGAATAAAAAAAAAAAAGAGAGGAGGTGGTTTGTGGTGGTTTGGGGGGAGGAGGGTGATGCTAGGGCCCACATGGCTCCTAGAAGCCCTGGTTGCTAGGGGAATAATCTCCCTGGGAACTGGGCCTAGAGAGCCCTGAGAACCCCCATGAACCTCTTGACCTCAACCTCACTATCCACCCTGTCCTCAGACCTTTTCCTGGCCCTTCTTGGTTCTAAGGTTCCCATCTGCCTCTACCCCATTTTCTTTAGTGTCCAGAGAAGGCCCCCGACCAATCCCACCCCAGATATGCAGGCAGTTCCACACTAGAAGGGAGACCCTCGTCCCCATGCCCTAGGCCTTCAGTGGCTCAGTTCTTGCCAGGGCCCAGGTTTAGGCTGCAGCTACAGGTGAGGTATGGTTCCCGCTCAACCCTGGTTTCTTTAGGAAGGGATGACTGAGAGTGAAGGCAGCTAGGCCCTCACAGTTCCTCAGTCAGAATCTTAAGCTCCCGTACCCTCAAGTAGAGTTGGAGTAGAGGATGAAATACTGGGGATACTCTCAAGGGCTACCTCATCATAACATCAGCCTTCTGTGAGTGCACTCTTCTGAGACCTCTATATCACAAGTGAAGAGACTGAAGCTCAGAGAGGCCAAGTGACTTATTCGTGGTCACACCAACATCAAGGATCAACTTCAGGACCTCAGATGCTTCATCCCCCTGCTTCTCAGGTAGATCTCATTGCCACTGAGTCAACCTTGCCCATCAGAGTTTCCCACCTTCTTTAGTTTGCCTTGTGAACTCATCAGAACATTCCATCCACTGGAGAGCAGGGAAACCCAGGAAGCTGGGATCACACACATGCACACATTCACACACACACACACACACACACACCTGTGCACACACAACTTGGGAACAAAGAGCCACGTGAGTGCACCCACACTGAAGGAGCTGGACCTCACCTTTATATCAAATGGGTTCCTGGAATGTGAGCAGACAGGCCGGCCCTTTGTGAATTGCCCTGCTTCTCTGTTCATTTTCATTCAGCTAACATCATTGATTGTTTGAAGCTGATTCCATCCCACAGGTACATATTGAGCACCTACTGTGTGTTTGGAGCCTTGATGGAAAATACCCACTGGCTATTCCTCTATTTCCACTGAGTTTATTGTGCAAATAAATGACTTATGGTCCCCAGGAGGCCCCTTTCACAGACCCCAGTGATGAACCTGGTTTAAATCAAAGACTCCTTTGTGATATCAACAATTACATCTGTTTTGTGCTTTGTAAATTTCATGTGGTTTTCTTAAGGTGGCAGCTAACAGTTTTTTAACTTGAAGAGGTGGCTCAGTGGGAAAGAGTTGGTTGAAGGTGGTCCCTGGCAGAGGCAGCAACCCCAGCAAGATGAGCAAGATAGGAATCAGTCTTGCTCTTTTCTTTTTTTTTTTTATCCTCACCCCGAGGACATTTTTGCATTCATCTTCAGATAGAGCGGGAGGGAGAGAGGAAGAAAGAGAGAGAGAGAAACATCAATGTGAGAGAGATACATCGAGTGGTTGTCACCCACATGACCCCAACCGGAGCCAGGGACAAACCGCAACCAAGGTGCATGCCCTTAGCAGGAATCACACCTGGGACTCTCTGGTCCGCAGGCGGACGCTCTAACCACTGAGCAAAACCGGCCAGGGTTCTTGCTCTTTTTTAATTTCTTTTTTTTTTTTCTTTATTGATTTTAGAGAGAGAGAGGAAGGGAAGGGAAGAAAGAGATAGAAATATGGATGTGAGAGAACATCGACTGGCTACCTCCTACATGCCCCACACTGGGGATTTAGCCCACAACCTGGGCATGTGTCCTGACCGGGGATCAAACCGGTGACCTCTTGGTGCATGGGTCAATGCTCAACCACTGAGCCACACTGGCCGGGCAGTATTGCTCTTAATGAAAGGAGCTAATGAGCTCACGAACCACCAACACCGAGGGCTGAAACGCATTGCCAGGAAGGGATGGGTAGGGTGGTGCTAGAGGTATCACAGGGAAATGAGCAGGACAGGGAGGGAGTGTATACAGTGAGGTGACTTCAGAGGAGACTCTTGCTGTCACCCATCTAGTCACCTAGATGCTAGCTTCAAGTAGCTGTGGGTGGGAAGTACCAAAAGGCAACATAAGCTGCCATAATGTCTCAAAGGAACAATGAAATAGAGGGAATCCTTTACGCATGATTCAGTCCATGAAGACTGTCTCGCTACTGTAGCTACCATATTTTCAAATCAGGAATCAGGTGTTGAGTGAAGCAAGCTCCCATGGAGACAAAGGGATGGATTGAACTCTGGGATATTTGGGGACTGAGCCAAGGGCAGAAATGGCCATATAAAGGGCCAGCTGAGTGGATAAAAGAGCTGCCACCTCTGCATTGTGACTCCTGCCAATGTGCCTCATTATGACCTGGCTTCCTCACCAGCTGGCAGGTGTCCCCAGGTCCTGGCATGAGTGCAGTGTGGGTTGGGGCTGGTGGGGGGGGGGTGGCCCAGGTGGCGGGGGGGGTGGCCCAGGTGGCCCTAGGACCCCCCCACCATGGAAAATAAGCTTCGGTATAACAACCTGGGGTGCAGCAATCAATACCAAGAAAGTTCCCAGGATGCTGACGACTTGCTATTCCTGCTGCTGGGCCTCATCATTCTTGTCAACATTGGGATCAATGTGGCAACTGTGGTCAGTGATGGCTGTGGACCATTCCTAAGGGTGAAGAGGGCTGAGGGTGGGAGCCAGCTTTGGCCGGTACCTCCACCTGCAAGAGCAATCTTGGCTGGGAGGGCTGTGGGGGTTGGGGGTGGAGAGCCTGGTCTTCATTCCCACCCCACCCCACCCCCAGATGTGGTATGGGCTCCAGAATGCCTTAGACAAGATGAGCAATTGGATTAATCAGAAAAGTAAGTATGGCAGCTAGAGAGGTAGGGGACACCCCCGCTCCCCTGCTACCACCACAGCCCTAGAAAGACAGGCCCCAGTGTTCCCAACCAACTGCCCTGCCCTCATGGACTCTTACACCCCCAGATGAAATCTTGCAGGCTTGTCAAAGTGCCCCCAAAGATGCCCCAACCAAGGTCCAAGACATCCACATCCACTGCACCCTGGACCCTGTAGAAGTGAAGATGGCCCGGCCCACTTGCTACTCTTCTTCCTACCACCATCTCCGCAACCGCAACCGCAACCGCAACTGCAAACGCAGCTGTCGCCGTCTGCGCCATAACTATCATCGCAGCACCCCCTGCAGCCACCAGCAGAGTACCAAGAACCACAGACAATTCCCCAACAATCACTCAGTCTTCCATAGCCCATGTCACAGCCACAAGATGTCACAGCTGAGGCCATTACCCTCTTTTGATCAGGAAGACCTGGACTCCCATCAGGAGGAGGAGGAAAACCTATCCTTCCCACAACCCAAGTACCCACGGTGGGGCTGGGGAGGGCTCTACCATCGAAGGGGGCTGCTCTCCAACATGGGGTTGTGGGGCCGCCAGGGCGGGATCCTGGCCAGCTTGCCACCACCCTCTCTCTACTTGTCACCTGAGCTGCGCCGCATGCCCAAGCGTGTGGAGGCCAAGTCAGAGCTGAGGCTGCAGTCCTACGGGCCCCACTGCTCACAGTCCCGCATCTGGGGTAATATGGAGGCTGAGCAGTGGACCTTGTCTCCACTACTTCCCCACCGGCTGCCTCCTAACCCCTCCTGGGTCCCTGGGGGGCACAGCCCTTACCAGTCAAGGGGCCAGATACTGTGTGACTCCTGGGATCAGCGGCGACGTGGTCTGGAGGGCTCTGAGCCTCCATCTGCCCTGGTGCCCCGAAGCTCCCGGCCTGAGGCCCGGGAGCACTACTCCCCACAGTCCCACTGGCGGAGTCTCCCTAGCCATGGTTATAGCCAGCCCACCCGCAGCCCCTACCCATCCACAGGACACTTGGGCTATACCTCCCGGGATTCCCATGAGGTACGGCGCCGGGCAGCTGAATGGGCTGAGGCGCTGCCCACTCAGCACCCTCTGACTACATCTACCTCCCTTACTGTGTTGGGCGAGGTCTCATACCAACGGGCCCTGGCTCCCAGCTCAGCCCTGCTCCCCCACTGCTCCCAGCCACTGCCTGAAGACCAGACTACTGAGCCACCCCCAACCCACTTCATGCCACTCAGCCGGAGCCCGGGAGGCAATGCCAATTACCAGGTGTACGACAGCCTGGAGCTGAAGCGGCAGGTGCAAGAGAGCAGAGTGAGAGCCAACTCACTGCCACCACCTTCCAGCTCAGCCTCGAGGCCCTCTTTGCACAGGAGCCGGACTGGGAAACTTAAATGACCAATGGCAAACGCGGGTGATGGGGCAGGGCACTGAAAGAAGAATAAAGAGCAACAGAGTCCAGGAAACACTGTGGTGGTCTGTGGCTGAGAAGTACCACTTCTTCTGCCAGCCTGGATCCCTGCCCTTGGCTTCCTGAAATGAGAAGCCAGTGTGCCATTGGTGTGAGGCTCCCCTTGGTTTAGTGGCCACAATCCTGCCTGAAGGCTCCTCCTACACAAGGCACTAAGTAGATCTTGCAGCTGCAAACTCCAAAAACCCCTGGTCTCTGGGCACCTGCTTTGTGTGAGGCTCTTCCTGTCCCCAAAAGGGAGTCAGAGGCTCAGCTTCACACAAGAAGCTGTTAGATTCCAGATTTAGGAGTTCCATATCTGGGTAGATCCAGGCCTGCAGCCTAGCAAAGGGCAGGAAGAGGGCCAAGGCTCTGGATTTCAGCCAGGCCTTCCCCAGGGTTCTGAGGCCATGGTCTTCCTAGTTTCAGGAGTGATCAGGGGGCTGGGATGCGTGAGAGTTTGAATGAGTGAGTCAGCAGGCAATGAGGAAAAAAACGAGGGTGAGCTAGCAGGTGTGTTGGCTTCTGGGCCCTGTTTGGCTGTCCAGGCTCAGGTTACTCAGACCCAGTTACCAGGGAATGCCACCTGGGCCTTCCTTTTCCTCTCCCTCCCTCATTGTGACCCCTAACCCCTGTCCCATTATGACCCAGTTCTTCCCCTCCCCCACCAGAAGAGTTTGGCTCCTAGTGAGTATGGTGGGGGTCAGGGGGCCCAGGTAGTCCTGGGACCCCCGGCCATGGGTGAGCGAGCCTACCACGGAGCCTCAGTGTGCTCTGGCACCAACCCCAGAAAGTGCCAGGACCTAGGAGACTCAATTCTTTTGATTCTGGGCAGCTTCATCTTGTTCAACGTGGGGATCAATGTGGTGACTCTGGTCAGGGAGGGGTCTGAACAGCAGGGTTGGGGGAGCCCAAGGGTCTGAGGTGGGAGGGGGTGAGGTGAGAGGGCTGCTGGGATGTGGCCAGGCTAAGGTTGGACTTCAAGGCTCACCCTACTTCTGGACTCTCCCCTCCCCTGCATCCTCAGCTCTGGCGGCATCTGAAGAGCTCCTTGCGGATTCTTTTCCATCATTTTTTCCCCAAAGGTGAGTGGTCAGCATGAGCTCAAGAGGATGTGGCCCTATCCCCTTTTTTTTTATCCCTGGTCCCATTTTCAGCCCCTCAGGAATTCAGGCCTTGTCTTGTCTCACCTTTCCCTGCAGACAGACAACCCAGCTGTATAGGCAACCATCCCATGTATATGAGCTACTCTGTGGATCCCAAGAACCTATATTCAAGAGTCTCCTCCCGCTTCCATCATTGCCCAAGCTTCCTGCTCGGGCACTCTAACCACCTTGACTCCTGCATACCAGATACGAATGATGAGAAAGCTTCCAGGTGCTGCTGGATGCCGCCTCAGTGTGGACACGCCAGGGCTCCCATGGAGACCCCATGGGGACTGTGGAAGGAGAGGATTATGGAAGCTGGGGAGCCCCCTCAGGTCACAGCCTCAAAGGCCCAACCTGCCTTTCTCTCGAGGCAAGAGACATTGTCCCAGTTCCCCAGGATGAGCAAGTTGGATATGGTTCCACTCCGCTTGCCCCAAGGGAACAAGACTAAGACCCCAGACCAAAACCCATCCTCTACCCCAGCCCAGACACGGACCCACTCCCCAGCCCACCCCTTTGAGCATACCCCCACCCAGACCCAGATCCATTCCATAGTCCGTACGCCTGCACACACCCCCACCCAGGTCCATAACCCTAAGCATACCTCAGCTCACACCCTGGCCCAGGCCCCAGCCCAGGCTCTCTTGCATGGCTTAGCCCACTCCCTGGGCCACAAGCTTGAGCACAGAACAGTCAGCAACTCTGCTCCAGCCAGCAATTCTGCTCATCTAACCTATACCCATGCCCACACCTTTGTCCCTCCCCCAACCTCTGCCCCAGACCATCTTCTAACTTCCACTCCTGCTACCATTGCCCCAGCCTCTACACCTGCTCCTGTCCCAATATCTACTTCAATCCCTGCCCCAGCAGTGGTCATGGCCCCAACTACCACTCCAGTTCCTGCTCCTAGCCCTGCCTCCACCCCTATCCACAGCCTAACTCCTATTCCTGCTACCCTGACTGCCTTGAGCCAAGACCTCTCCACTGACCATGTGGTTTATGATGCCCACACAGTAAAGCAGAACTTATTCCATGGCTGCCCTACCCAGAACCCTGGGTATTCCAGAAAGAACTTGGGTACCCTCTCCAGGCCTCAAGATGGGCAGGGCCTGGTAAACTCTGGTAAAGCAGAGCAAACATCAAAGCAACTTAGGGAGGACACTGCCAAGCCCTCCACAAGACCCATACTGGGTTATCTGGAGTTGGGGAATATGGAATGGAAAATCTCAAATGATGCCAAAGACAAGTTCTTACAGCCCAAGACCTTCCCTTACTGCAGCTTCCATCCTTGCAGTTCTGAGAGGAGAAACACAGACTCCCAGCCTCCAGTCTACCCCAAATTCCTGGTCTACTCCAAGGATGCTTCACCTTCTCAACCTTGCTTTCATTCTCCAACCAGTGCCCAGAACTCAATGTGCACTGCTCCTTCACCATGCACTCATTCTCACCCTCTTGTTTCTCCCAGATCATTTGTTCCTCATCAACCTACCAACCATCAGGTGAAGCCCCGCACCTCAATACAAACCCCCACCTTACCCCCAATCTCCCACTCTCCTCAGTCCATACCCTCTTCCCGGTTTCCCATCTCTTCCTGCTTCTCCACCACTTCCAAACTTTCAACCCAACCCCAATCTCCTGAACTTCATGAGAGTCTAGGTCTCACCCAAGACTCTGGCCTTTTAAGAACCCCAGGCCCTTCAAAAGACTCTAGAGTTTCCATGAACCCAGGTCTTGATCAAGGTCCAGGCCTACACAAGCTGCCAGGCCTTAACCAACACCCTCATCTCTGCAAGCATCCAGGGCCTTCCCAAGACTCTAGACTTCCCAAGAATCCAATTACCCAAGATTCTGGCCCTCAAAAGAGCGTAGGTCCTCCTCAAAATATAGGTATCTTTAGGAGTCCATGTCTTATCCAACCCTCTGGCCTCCATAAGAACACACCATTTTCCCAAACTTCTGACATTCTGAGGAGCTCAGGCTTTGTGCAAGACTCTGGAGTCTATAGGAATCCAAAACAAAACCAAGAGACTGAATTCTACAAAAGTCAAGATCTCTCCCAAGCAACTGGCCTCCATAACATCCCAGGCCTTTCTCAAGAATCTGGAGGGTGCAAGAGTACAGGCAATGCCCAAGATTCCGGAGTCTCTAGGAGTCTAGGCCTTACCCAAGATTCTGGCCCACAGAAGAGCCCATGCCTTGCCCAAAACTCTAAAGTTAACAAGAGCTCAGGCCAGGAATCTGGTCTCTACAAAAGCCCAGGACTTGCCCAAACCTGTGGCCACCATAAGAGCTCAGGCCTCACCCAAGACTCAGGAGAATACAGAAATCTAGGCCTGACTCAAGATTCTGACCTCCATGTGAATCCAGGCCTTAACCAAGCCAATGAAGTGGAAAAGAGATGTGGCCTTACCCAAGATGCTGGAATTTACAGGAGCCAAGAACATACCCAAGATCCTAACTTCCACAAATACCCAGGAATTAATCAAGATCCTGGCCCCTATAAGGGCCTAGCTCTTACTCAAGACTCTGACCTCCCCAGGACTCAAGACCTTACCAAGGAATCAAGCCTCCACAAGGATTCATGCCTTATCCCAAATCCTGACCTCCACAAGAACCTAGGCCTTGCTTTAGGTACTAACTCTGCCCAAGTCTTGGGCCCATCTCAGACCCCAAAGTCCATACCATCGTTAATGAAGTCATTTGTATCTGAGGAGGCTTCTCAGGAGGATGCAGAGCAGCATCTTCCATTGACTTCTGATCCACTCAGTCAGTGCTCCTGCCCTTCCAAGGCCCAGGTGATCTACAATGACCTGCAAACCTTCTCAGAGGTACCTGTATTAATTGAGCTACAATCATCCTCCCAGCAAGTAGGAAGCCAAGACTGGGTGTACTGTCCAGTGGATACAGTTCCTCCAGCCTGCCAGAACTATCGCCAGATGTCTATGCCTCCCAAAATCAACTGGACGACTCGCTGTCCTGGGCCAGGCACCCGAGTAGGGCACGTGGTCTTTGATGCGCGCCAGAGACAGTTTGGAGTGGGCAGAGACAAGTGTGAAGCTCTATTTCCCAGGCGCCTTCGCCAAGAGGCACCCAGCAGCAACTCAGTGGAGACCACCAGGTGGGGATATCAGGGTGCAATGAGGCCCTCAGAAAAAGAGGGCACAAAGGTGCATTAGGAATAAAGAGGCAAGAAGAAGTGTTCTGTGATTAATTGAGGACAACCACCCCAGCCCCATTCCTGACACTGACCACTCTTGGAGCCTGATGAGTACTGGAAGTATACTTGCCCCTGCTTCTCCTCCATAGCTATAGAGCTAAACCCATTATCCCCAAGGCCCTAAAGCTGCATTTACCACAGATAGCCACTAACTACCCATGGCTTTTAGAATGTAAATTAATTAAAATTAAAATTTAAAATTCTGTTCTTTTGTTTCATTATCTACATTTCAAGTGCTCAATAGTCATGGGTGGCTAGTGGCTAGTGTATTGGATAGCACAGATTTAGAACATTTTCATCATTACAGAAAATCCAGTTGGACCGCAATGCTTTAGAGTTTAGAGAAACTTTCCTTTCCCCTGTCACCCATTCCCAGCATCTCCAAAGCTCCCACACAGCCCAAAGAACTTAGTTCTTCTTAGAGTGGCTCAGAGGCCACTCTCTGGGGAGGAGGTAAGATGTAGGGATGCCAAATGCCTGATTATCCCAGACTGTGAGAAAGAGCTAAGTCTTCAGTTTTCCTGATCTAGTCTCTTGGGTCACAACCAGATGTATGGAAACCTTCCTCTCCAGTTCTAGGATGTTTTGGGGCTTTGAGTTGCTGATGGAGAACTCTCTGTCAGTAACTAAGAACTCCTGAGATCTGGGCTCCCCAAATTGAGCTCTGGATTCTGAGAGTCCCTTCCTTTATCAGCCTCTAATTTTTCTAGGTGTTTCTGCTTAATTCTCTTGCCCACAGACTGAGGCCTATCTCATTTCAGAGATAGTCCCTGGGGGAAAGGGAATGTAAGAAGTCCTGGTCCAGCAATGGATAGGTCTGATCTATAAACCTGCCCCTAGTTTCCTGTCTTTTGTCCCATTATTCTGGCTCCTTGTGTTACCCTGATAACATTGGTTGCTGAAAGCAATTTTCTTCCCCGTAATTTCCCTTTGTCTTGCCCCAGCCCAGCTGGGAGTTTCCTCTGGATTTGATTACTCTTCTGTGTAAACACTAGGTATGAGATACCAGTGTTTTCCCCACCACCACACGTGTGTCTGAGGTGGGTATCATTAATATATCCCTTCCCTGAGTCAGATGTCCATTCCTGAGTTACCACCTGTGTGTTCTTGCCTAATACTATTATCATGGATTCCAAGGAGAAATCACCCAGCTGGGGAGCCCCTTTCTAACACCTCTCTGGCTCAGCTCTGACCTTGGACAAGTCATGCTGCATCCTCTCTAGGATGCAGTCTCATCTCCAAAATGAAGTTGTAATTACATGGAAGAACACTTCTAGATCTAAATGACCAGGGATCTTCTACTCACATGGGATACAGGGACCCCCATTTCTCCCCAGGCCCTAGGGTATGTCCCCCATTATTGTTTGCTATTCAGATCCATCCTATTACTCCTCTGCTCCCACCCTAAGAAATGTTTGTCTCCATAGGACAGTTTATCTCCACAGAAACTACAACTTCAACCAGGCACTTCAGAGGAACAGTGAAGGTTGTGGGGGTATAGCCACAAAGCCCTGGTAGCGCAGAACAGAAACTGCAATTCCCAGAATAGCGCGAGATCTGAAAAGACCGAAAGGCGTATTGACAGAGGTGGGGCCCGCTCGGAACCACCCAGACAACCTCTAGAAAGGGGCGTGACTGTAACCGAAGGGCGTGGCCTTGCGGGCAGCCGGAAGAAGTTACCTGTTGGATTGTTCTGTCCATTCTCTTCCCAATTCTTGCGGTAACCCCTAAGAGGGGAGCCGCAGACCGTAAGCCTTTTCCGAAAAAGAGGTAAGGGAAGGTAGACAAGGACGGCGGAGGAGACTGGCTATTACATTCCGAAGGAGGGGTGAGTCAGGTGAACCGGTCCATGGGGGCGGGAACCAGAATATGAGAAAGAGCAAGAACAGAGGAGGTATTTATTTGTTCGTTTTCAAGACTAAACTTACGGCTCTTTATCTGCAGACCCATTGTACTTCTCTAGGGCACTCACTCGGCCTCGAGAAGACAGAACAGAGGTGACTTCTCGGTAGCAAAGGAACAGCCGGTCTAGGCTTCCTCTCGTCTGCTTTTTCCCTAGCCCAAAACGATAGAGCCGTATGGCTTCCGCGGTCTGGGGGAGTGCCCCCTGGTGGGGCCCGCCGCCACCAGCCCCAGCCCGCCCGCTCACAGATATCGACTTCTGCTCTGGAGCACAGCTCCAGGAACTAACCCAGCTTATCCAGGAGCTGGGTGTGCAGGAGAGCTGGAGGGACGGGCCCAAGACGGGACCTGACCTCCTCCGGGCCAAGGACTTTGTTTTTTCTTTACTTGGTAAGTAACCCTCCCCGCCTTCAGACACTCGCAGCTTTCAGCCCCTCCCTGGCGTTGTGTCACGCTTTCACAATCCCTTGTTTTCCCTTAGGTCTCGTTCACCGCCGAGACCCCCGCTTTCCTCCCCAAGCAGAGCTCTTGCTGCTTCGTGGCGGGATTCGCGAGGGCTCCGTGGATCTGGGGCCTTCACCCCTAGGTCCCTACGCCCGGGGACCTCACTACGACGCCGGCTTCACGTTACTGGTGCCCGTATTTTCTCTAGATGGCATTGGGCAGGAGCTGCAACTGGACATGGAATCCAATTATGCCTGGCTCTGCCTCCCAGAATTGATGCACGGAACCTCGGTCCGAAAGGCATGGCAGGATTGCCTAGGACCCTCCGTCTCTGGAGGACGTGATTTGATCCACCGAACCGAAAGCGAAGAAAGTCCCAAAGACCAGCAAAGCTCGGCGGACCAACTGCACGGTTACGTCACTGAGCTTGAGCTGCGCTCGTCTTTGGAAAAATCACCTAGTAACGGCTCCAGGGCCGAGTTGCCTCGGCAAGACGTAACCGATTTTAGCTTTCCCGCACCGCTGAAAAAACTGAATGGTGACGTCACCAAAGCAGCCACAGATAGTCCAGTCCCACAGCCGTCGGAGGCTCCGGAGGCGTGGCCCACATTGTGCCCTGCCAAGGTGGCTGCGTGGTTCTTTGCTATGCTGGCTGAGGTCGCCGAGTCCCTGATCCCGGTCCCAGGTGCCCCGCGCTTGGTCCACGCAGCCCGCCACGCAGGGTTCACCACCATTCTCCTGGCTACGTCAGGGCCCCCACGCCGCCTCCTGCTTTTCGACCTAATCCCTGTTGTGTCCGTGACCGGCTGGCCCGAGGGAGCTCGGAGCCACTCCTGGGCCGGCCCGCTGGCCTCCGAGTCGTCCTCCTTCTACCTAGTGCCCGGCGGCGACATAGAGCGGCCGGGCGCTTCCGGCTGGCAGCTGTGTTTCGCCCGCCAGGAGCTGGCGCTCAAGGCGCTCATACCCTCCCCGCTGCTGCAAGCGCACGCGGCTGCCCAGGCGCTGCTGCGCCCGCTGGTGGCCGGAACCCGGGCCGCGGCGCCCTATCTTCTGCGGACGTTGCTCTACTGGGCTTGCGAGCGACTGCCGGCGCTCTATCTGGCGCGGCCCGAGAATGCTGGCGCCTGCTGCCTGGGGCTGCTGGATGAGCTAGCCCGTGTGCTCGAGGCTGGGACTCTGCCCCATTATTTTCTGAGCGGACGAAAGCTCTGGGCAGGGGACAGTGCTACTGCGCTGCTCGTGGCGTTGGCCCGGCTTCGTGGGGACCCTGCCCGGGCCCTGTGCGCCACGGTGGAGGAGGCCAAGACAGCGCGAAAGGGGGGCGGCTTAGCTGGCCTGGGAGACAGGTCCCATTAAAGACTATTCCTGTCTGCATGGAAAGCCTCTCACTTGGGAGACAGACTTAGCACTCCGGACCTAAAGATCCCGTTCTAGAAGGCATCCTTGCGGGTTCCATCCCGTCATTCCATTTGCCTCCTGCCCCATCTCTGGTACAGGTCGCCCCATTCTGGCTTCTCTGCTCTCCAAATCCGTGATCAGCATCCTTTGTGTCCTGGTACAGCCTCTGGCACCCATTCTTATGGTCTTTTCTCTTTAGAAGTCAATGGGGTGGGGGCGGGGAATATATTTGCTAACAAAACGTGCAAAGGAGAGCGGTATGTAGACCAGAGACATCAATTTGGTTCACACAATAGCAAACATTAAGGAGGCCGGATTTCATCCCAGGCTAGATCCGGACCCCCTCCCCTCAATCTCTTCAGTTATTACCCCCACTTTCTTCATTCAGTTCTGTCCTCCCTCCCAGGCAGTAGGTCCCTTCCATTTATCTTAAGCCCACCCTCTACCCCCAGTCAGGGTTCCATCCAGTGGAGTCACCTCCTTGTCCCTCCTCCTCTGAACCCTGAGACTTGAGGCCTTGCCTCAGCTCCCCCTGCCTCTAAAGACCGTCCCCAAAGAACCTCAGGGTTCCGCCTGCCCAACTTCACCCCCCTTTTCCGGCGTCTCCGCCCCCTGCCCCGCCCCCAGGCTGGCTCTAGAAGGGGGAGCTGCGGTTGCCGCCGCCTCAGCTTCCCACTGTCGCTGCTGCTACTGATGCCCCGGTTACCGCCGCTGCACTTGGTCCAGCCGCCAGGCCCAGTGCTCTGATTTACCCGACCAGGGCGCTCTGCGGAGACATCCTCACTTCTTGGGGGGCTCGGGGCGCCTAACCAGGCGTGGAGGGAAGCTGCGTTTGCGGGGGACAGGGAGGGAGGAGCCAGCAACCGGGGCCAGCACCACCCGTCGCGGGACCAACAAGACGGGACAGGTTGAGGGGCGTCGGAGAAGAGGGGGGATGCTATAGTTAGTCCCAGGGAGGAGGAAGCCCTGTAACAGAAAGCTCTGATGTGCTCTGGCTTGTAGGGTGCCTGTTCACATTTGGGAACTGGTGACAACATGGGTACACTCCTCTCTTGGGGGGCTGGTTGGATCGGAGGACGTGGGATGTAAACAGCACCAGCTGTCTCCCCCCACCTCCCAGGAAATTAAGGGGCAGCCAGAAGAAAAACCCAGATGCTTCTTATTTCCAGGTTGACAGAGGGCCCCTCAGACAACCACCTGGTGTATCCACCCGGAAGGGTGGATTTGGAGGTGACTTAAAAAATAGTTGAGGGTAACAAGGTGAGGAAAGGGGCTCAGCAACTGGAAACTTGTGCCACTAGAAATGAGGGTGACTTGGTAAAAAAAAAAAAAAAAAAAAAAAAAGGTTGTCCAGAGAGTCTGGAAACCCATTCTCAATGACCAGGAACAGCCTGGATATTCTGAGACATAGTTTTGGGGGATTTCAATGAAAAAGAAAAAGTGGGGGATCCTCTTCACTTACAGGGTGGCAAAGACACCAAGGTTTAGTTCTTCCCTGACATTGGCAGTGCCCCAGTAGGGGTGGAGTGAGTTAATATCCTCAAAGCTAAGGATCCACACCCTTTAGATTACAAGAGAGGATTTGGCAGGAGTACAGGGGCCCTGAAATAGGGTGAAAAGGTGCCTGGGGATATTGGAACCACATAGTGGAAATTTTGAGGGTTTTGAATTTGCGATAGGGTAAGTGGGAACAGGGATACTGGAGAGCAGGGGAAGGGGTAGTTTTCAGTAGGGGGCAAAAGTCCAAGGGTGAAGTTAACTGAGAGGCACATAGTCTGCTGGGTCCAGTGGAGCTAGCACAGGGGCCCAAGGGTGAGAGCTGACAGCTGGGTGGAGGGGGTGCTGAGGCTTATCCTAAGGTCCTGTGGGTGGGGCGGTGAGTCGGGAAGGAGCGTCAAGAGCATGCCGTGGTGAGCGGGCTTCTCTGGGGGAGCCCAACGCTCTCCCAGCGCCTGCCGGTTTGGGGGTGTCTCCTCCCGGGGCGCCATGGCGGCGCTGGCCAGTAGCCTGATCCGGCAGAAGCGGGAGGTCCGCGAGCCCGGGGGCAGCCGGCCCGTGTCGGCGCAGCGGCGCGTGTGTCCCCGCGGCACCAAGTCCCTTTGCCAGAAGCAGCTCCTCATCCTGCTGTCCAAGGTGCGACTGTGCGGGGGGCGGACCGCGCGGCCGGACCGTGGCCCCGGTGAGTTGTTGGGGCGGGGTCTCCGGGTATGGGGGTCTCTCTGCCTGGGAGGTTGAGATGAGGGGTTCTGAAGAATGGAGCCCGACTGAGGGAGGCTCCCGGAAAGTAAAAAGGGGTGGGCCAAGACAACAAAGTCTTTGCCAGTCTGTGCCTCAGTTTCCCTTCTCTTTTGCCCGTAACCCCAAGTCTCCTTGCTTTCGAGGGCAAGGGGAAGGCTTGAGGGGCTAAGTCTGGTTCCCCAAGCCTCGTGGCTCCTGCCTCCCCCCGACCCCAGGATCCCCACCCCCAGCGCCCTTCGCCTACGTGCTGGCTCTCGCGATTCTTTCCATCCAGAGCCGAGGGGCCTGGGGGTTCCGGACGCCTGGGTCACCCCGAAGGTTTCTGCGGCTCCGGCAGCCCCGCCCCCGCCCCGGTTCTCCTGCTCCTCCACGTCTTGGCTCAGTTCCTCCTGGCCCAGCTTGCCTGGCTCGGCGCCAATCTCCCCAATTCTCCCCTGGGTGTCCTTGCAGCTACCTCGCCAAACCGCCCCTCTTGTGCATCCTCCTCCTGTGACCTGAGCTTCAAGAGAGGAATTGGGTACCCCCCCATTACCCTCCACGCGACTCCAAAATCGGGTCCCAGGAGCTCAGGGGACCCCCTACCGCGAGGAACTCGGTACCAGGCTGGTGGGAGACCCGCACAGAGACTGGGGGGTCGTACCACCTACAAGGGGGTACACGGAAGTCGTCTGAGAACAAGCGACTGGCAAGAAGAGTTGTGAGGGTTAGAGTGTGGTCCCCGTCCAGGTACCATAGGCAGGGAGTCCCTCGGACCTGCTCCCGCCCTCTCCCAACTCCCCGAAGGTTAGCCACTTCGAGCCTTTCTCTCCCCCGCCGCTGACCCGCCGCAGTGGTACGGTCCGCAGCCCACCCTTTGAATGGGACCCGGCCCCCACGTGACTCAGCTTGCCTCACCACCTCTCCCGCCCCTCCCCCCATTTCCGTGGTTTAGTGCCGAATGTCCCCTACCCCAGGCGGGTTACCTGGCTGAAGGGGAAAGGCTGAGCCTCAGGGAGGCCTGGGCCCCCGAGCCAGAGGACTGACAGATACAGACAGATGGGTCAGTGTCAGACTGGCCGGCGCTGGGCCAAGGCAAGGCCCGCGCTAAGCGGGCGACAGCAGCAGCAGCAGGTGCTGAGTCAGCGTCAGGCCCAGTCCTACCCCTATTCTTTAGGGGGCGCCCCTACCCTGTGTTCACCTTGCTGCCCCCCACATTCGCAAACACACCTACCCTTCAGCTGCCCTGTCACCCTCTGCTTTTTGATGTATCTCTCTCCTTCCTCTTCCCTTCCTCTCCCCACCACCCCTTTCTGGTTGAGCTGTAGAGTAGGAATTAAGCCATTTAAATAAATGTCAATAAATTAAACTGAAAGCTGGTGGTTAGAGGAAGCAGAAGGAACCCATACCTCAGCGTCCTCAGTAATCTAAAAGAAGTGGAAGAGAGCTTTATTGGAGGGTAAGAAAGTTGGGGCCCTAGTACCCTATTCCTTCCCTCCACTCGCCCTTCATTTTTTTCCTCTGATCTCACCAAGTGTAGGAATGTTTCTGGGAACAGAGATATAATTTTCAAAGATTAATGTCTCTTTCTCTAGAGCCTCAGCTCAAAGGCATCGTCACCAAACTGTTCTGCCGCCAGGGTTTCTACCTCCAGGCAAATCCCGACGGGAGCATCCAGGGCACCCCAGAGGACACCAGCTCTTTCAGTGAGAGGGGAAGCTGGCCCCTGGGTGGGAAGGGGGATAGTGGGGCTAGGAGACTAGGACAATTTTATTCCTGCTTCAGGTTCTGTGTTTTCAGTCTGCCTCTTTGACTCCCAAGGGAGGAAGTGTAGCTGGGATGAGGGGAGTTTAAGTGGGGGGTTCAAGACCTGGGGTACTGATGCCCCCTCTCTCCATCCCCAGCCCACTTTAATCTGATCCCCGTGGGGCTCCGTGTGGTCACCATCCAGAGTGCCAAGCTGGGTCACTACATGGCCATGAATGCTGAGGGGCTGCTCTACAGCTCGGTGAGACAATGAGGCTGAGTGGCTTGGGGTTTGGAGATTCCCCAACTACAACTTTCTAGTCTACAGATATTTTACAATTCAGAACTTCCTCTCAATCCATCTTATTGATGTCCTGTCATCACTGCCTACTCCAGAGCACCTTTTCTAGGATCCCTCTCATCTCACTCTCACACTGCCCTCCAGATGCACCCCCCCCCACCCCCCGGGCTTTTTGAATGTCCAACTCTTTCAGCCTTTTAGGGCCCCTATTTCTCATTCTCCATCCTCTAGACTTCATTATCACTCACTTCCCCAGAATCATTCAGGCTGGGGAATGGTGAGAGGTTGGGAATAGAGTGGAGAGAAGGTACCTTCTTATTCCAGAGCCCCCAAAGGTCTAGTTCCTAACCCTCAGAGACCTACCAAACTCTTCTTTGTCCTCCCTTTCTCCCAGTTCCCACATGGACTGTGAGATTGGCCCTCCCAGCCTGAAATGTATGGATTATATTCTGGTTTGTTCTTCCCAGGGTTCCCTTCTGTCCATTGATGTGTCTATTTGTCTCTTTGTCTGTGTGTGCCTTTCTGGGTCTTTGTCTCCTCAGCAACATTTCACAGCTGAGTGTCGCTTTAAGGAGTGTGTCTTTGAGAATTACTATGTCCTGTACGCCTCCGCTCTCTACCGTCAGCGCCGTTCTGGCCGGGCCTGGTACCTAGGCTTGGACAAGGAGGGCCGAGTCATGAAGGGAAATCGAGTCAAGAAGACCAAGGCAGCTGCCCACTTTGTGCCCAAGCTCCTGGAGGGTGAGTATGGACTGAAGAAAATGGGGGCCACATGGGTGGGTATTAACCTTGACATGGACATTTACTGACACATATCTCAGGGGCTACAGTATAAAGAGACACCTGTTATGACACGTCAAGCCTTTGGGGGTTTGGGGAGTTCTCATATGGGTTGGGGTTTCCAGAAGATGAGTGCAGGGGAAGGGAGCCCTTTAAGAGCTCTGATTCTGCTTAGATCTCTCTGTGCCTAACTCTCCTTCCTGCTCTTCTCTTTCCCCTTCACAGTGGCCATGTACCGGGAGCCTTCTCTCCACAGTGTCCCTGAGACCTCCCCTTCCAGTCCCCCTGCCCCCTGAAATGTAGACCCTGGACTGGAGGCTCCTGTACTTGCACTGGTCCAGCCACCACCACAGCCTGTCTCCCAGCCCTGCTCCTGGACCTGCTCTCACCCCAGCTGCCATACTCATGCCCTGAGCAGCCAGGTCCCACCAGGTGCTCTACCCTGAGGGAGCCTAGGAACTGCTGAAACACTTAGATGCTTGGACCTGGGAGGAAGTCATAGAGGTGGATGTTTGAAAATGATCCTGCCTGATTGCTTCTTTCCTCCCCACTTACACACCCCCAAAACCTTTTCCTGAGATGGCGCTGGGGGTTTCCAATCTGATAGAACCAGGACACAAATACTTCTCACCCCAGGCTCAGCCAGTTCCTGGAGCCCTTTTCATTGCCTTTGAACCATAGATTTATAGGTCTACTGGAGCTCAGGATTAGTTTCTTTTCCCTACTCTACCTTCTGCCTTGTTCTGGACAGGTTCTGGAACACCAGGCACCCCAGCCAGGGCTATTTCTCCACTAAGGCTCTGTTCTGGATCCATCAGGCTTTCTTGACCCCGATAGACCCCTGGTTTCCAAGTAGAGAGGTTGGATTTGAGCCCTGTCCAGCTCTTGGCCTTGGCCTGAACAGGGACCAGTGTCAGATCACCACAGGTTTAACTTTTTTTATCCCAGAGACACCCAGTACTAGAGCATGGTGTTCTAGGCACATATGGAGCCATATTTCCTTCTGAATTTCGGGTCTAGAATATAGACCATGATTCTTCACCCTTCCCTCCATATTACTGCTCTAGAATAAGTTGAAGACCCATCCTCCTACCTTCTCCAGTGATACCCATTAAGAATAAGCTCTGGAAAGGACGCAGCTTTGATTCATAAAGAACTAAGTCCTGGATGAATTAAGAACTACTTCTTATTTTACCTAGATGATTTTCTAAAAATCTTATTCTTCCTCTAGAATGCAAACCTTATTTTTACATGTAGTTGCTAGCTCCTGCAACTCAGCTGGAGTACAGGGAAATAAAGTCTGAAGACAGAGGAGTTTTAGAAGGAATCCTTCCTTGGTTCATTGTGGGGAAGCTAGGATAGTGAAGGGGCCAAAGCCATGACATAATTGGACCTGTGCCTGGGTTGGGGGGACATGAACACTTAGCTACCTCAGCAGGAATTCCCTCCAGATCCCTTTTAAAGCTGAGGTATTTAGGGTAATGGGTCTAGAATAAAAAGGACAAATATGACATAGACCTTACAGTGTACAGATGATGTGTTGTAGAATTGTGCACCTGAAACCTGTATACTTTTGTTAACCAGTGTCACCCCAATAATAATAAAAACAAGACATAGACTTGACCCCCCCCCCCCCCCAGTGAGGAGACCCCAGTTCAGCATAAGTCCCACCACTATCCTCTAGGTCAGGCTAAGGAGCGAAGGAGGGCGAAGGTCTCTCGGGTTCCAGACCTCATATAACCCCAAAGCTTCTACCTGAATAGAAGTTGCTTTACTTTACAGATTATAACCTCAGCTGTGTTTTAGGTACCCAAAAAGTGCCTGACTAGCAGGCCTGGAAAAGATCAGGAACCCACTAGTGAACTAGGAGGTAGAAGACTCTGAGCAGCCTCAGACCTGGGCAGGGTAGACTGAGGCGGCCCTAAAGGGAGGGCTAAAGCTCAGAGACAGGTCACTTTTCCTCAGGCTCTTTCTACTTCTAGCTTTTTGCAAGAGGGTTTGATGCTTCCCTCGCCCACACAGACCCCGCCCAGGCTCCACCCATCTCCTGGCTCTGCTCCCAGGAGACCCGGTTCCATTCCATGCATTCTCAATTTAAAAAGATTTATACAACTGATATGTTGTCTGTTGTCTATGGGTGGCGGGCATTGGCAGTTGTTCGGGGCGGGAACAAGTCCCAGGGGCGGGGCGGGTGGGCTGGCGGCTGTCCCCCAACAACAGGTGCACATTCTTGGGCGCCTCGTCACTTCCCCTGCACTGGCCGTCCCAGCGGCTCATTGAGCGAACTCACTGAAAGCGGCCGGGCTATGACCCTAGGATCGCTGCCGCTGCTGTTGCTGGGGGCGCTGGGGGCGTCGCTCGCCCCGGGTAAGTCTGGGCCTCAAAGGGACAGTGACAAGGCCAGAGATCGTGGCCGGGCACCATGGTTTAACTTAGTGCTCTCCTCCAGGCGCCTGCGGCTCGGAGGCAGAAGGCCAGCTCCGCGAGAAACTTTTCTCGAGCTATGATAGCTCGGTGCGTCCGGCGCGGGAGGTGGGAGACCGCGTCCGGGTCAGCATTGGTCTCAAACTGGCGCAACTCATCAGCCTGGTGAGGGCGCACGCGGGCGGTGCTGAAGTCAGGCTCACTGGCGGACTTGGGGGCGTGGCTTTAGACAGCGAGACCCTGGGACAAGTAGGGCTGGACGAGGCTGAGTGGTGGGAGGGACGAGGCTGAGAGATGGACCGGTCGTTAGCAGAGACTGGGTCGAAATCGGCGTGGCTGCTGGACAGGCCAAAGGTAGAGACGCGTACGATGATGAACCTGCGTGTGGACAGATCTTGAAGTGGAACTGGAGCTAATGGACTGACTGGAAGGCGGGCCTTGAGGCAGGGTCACAGGCTGGGGCGGGGCTTGGTGCCGGACAGCGTCAATCAACAACAGCGGGGGCGGAGAATGAGAGTTGGGTGAATTTCGAGGTGTGGGTGGGGCCCGCCTGGGGTGGGACTGGTAGAGGAATTGACTGACTTCGTAGACTACAGGAAGTTTTGGGGGTAGAGGCGGGGCTTGGACCCAAGAGGCTGGGATTCAGAAAAAGCGGTGAGTTTCAAGGGAAAGCTTGACTCGCCGAACCCCCTCATTTCTCTTCACTTACATAGCCTCTACCTTTTGAACTTTCCCCTTTTAGAACGAGAAGGATGAGGAGATGAGCACAAAGGTGTACTTAGACCTGGTACGGAGACCCCACGGGATGGGAAAGGTTTTCCGCTGTCTTTACAAATGTCTTCGACCCAGTCAAAAACACTTCTTGCATCACGAACTTAGAAAGCACATTGTAACTGAAACAGAAGCTTCAGAAAACAATACCCACCTTTACTACGGGAGTTGCACTTCATGCATTTTTCATTCTAATTTTTTAAAACACTGGTTTGGCCCTCCTTGTATGGCCCAGTGGTTGAGCAGCGACCTATGCACCGAGAGGTTGCTGGTTCGACTTCCAGTCAGGGCACATGCCCAGGTTGTAAGTTTGATTCCCGGTAGGGGGCGTGCAGGAGGCAGCTTCTCTCATCGGTGTTTCTATCTCTCCCAATCCCTTCCTCTCTCTGCAAAAAAAAACAAACAATAAAAAAAACATTTAAAACAAACAAACAAAAAAACACCGGTTTGGGTGGGACCCCTAATTTGTTTCCTGACCCACTAAAGGGTCCTGAGCTGCAGTTTGAAAACCACTGTTTTAGAGGATAGTTAGTGCAACTTCCTCGTTATTATAGACTAAAAAACTGGGGCCCTTTATGAGGGAAGGGGAAATAGTTGATGGAGTCTGAGCGAGTGCAGGTGGGCCAGGACCAGAACCCCTGGTCTCCAGAATCACAGCCCATGCCCGCGCTGCTCCTCACCCTTGCACTTGCTGCCCGCTTCCTTCGAACATTCCAAGTTTCCTCCCAGCCTCCAGTCCCTAACAGCCCCCCTCAGCCTCTGCTTCCCTAGGAGTGGACTGACTACAGGCTGAGCTGGGACCCCGCGGAGCACGAGGACATCGATTTTCTTCGCATCACGGCTAAATCCGTGTGGCTACCAGATGTGGTGCTACTAAACAAGTAGGATCTTTCCAACACTGGGGGTGGGCGAGGCCTCTGGAAGGGAGGGGCATCTGGAGGGCGGGGCCTGATCCCAGGTGAAAAGATTCCTTTCCTGCAGCAATGACGGAAATTTTGACGTCGCTCTGGACATTAACGTCGTGGTAGCCTCCGACGGCACCGTGCGCTGGCAGCCCCCGGGCATCTATCGCAGTAGCTGCAGCATCCAGGTCCCTGGGCTCCACCTGGGAAACTCAAAGCGCTCTTAGAAACCCTCCCTCTCCTCAGATATCCTGACTCCTATTCCTCAGTTATCCTCCATGACCCTCACATCTCTCTTACCCTCCTGATTTTTCATTATTCCATCTTCTCTGCTCACTTTCATTGACTTCCAGTCTTCCTCAGTAACTCCTCTTCATTGCCCATGGCCTCCCCTAATAACCTTCCGATTCTTTTGTGACCTCCACTTCTCTGTGGTCTCTTTTGGTGGCCCCCATCTCCCTGGTACTCCATATGCTCTGACGCCTATCTGCCCTGTGACCTCCCTAACTCCCCCAGCCCTGACCAGTTCTCTGTCAGCTCTAGTGACTCCTCCTTCCATTTAGGTCACCTACTTTCCCTTTGACTGGCAGAACTGCACCATGGTGTTCAGTTCCTATAGCTATGACAGCTCAGAGGTCAGCCTGCACACTGGCTTGGATCTAGATGGGCAGGAACGGCAGGAAGTGCACATTCATGAAGGGACCTTCATTGGTGAGTGGGCCTGGCTCCCACATCCATGGGTTTTATGGCTTCCAGTTTCTAACAGGCTGATAAATATACTCCGTTAGCTATGCCCAATACAACCCTATGGTGTCAGCAAGATAGGTGTGACTATCTACATTGTGCAAATACGGAAATTAAGATTTATTTAAGTTTATTAGTGATGGGCTGTCCCGCCTAGTGTCCACAGCTAGCCCTGTATCACATCAGCCTCCTCTGCTATAGAATGTGGCAGAGCAGCCATATCCAGCACAAACAAGGACCAGGTCCCACATCTGTGTCCCCTTCTCCGGTTCTTTTTCCCCTCCACCAAGAGAATGGCCAATGGGAGATTATCCACAAGCCTTCTCGGCTAATCCAGCCTCCAGTGGATCCCAGAGGAGGAGGGGAAGGACAGCGTGAAGAAGTCACCTTCTACCTCATCATTCGCCGGAAGCCTCTCTTCTACCTGGTCAACGTCATTGCCCCATGCATTCTCATCACTCTCCTGGCCATCTTTGTCTTCTACCTGCCGCCAGATGCAGGTAAGGGGAGAAGGGGCCTCAGCCCTCCTTTTTACCCTTAATTATCTCCACCCTTAATCTAGGCAAGGTTTTCCTGCCAAGCCAAGCCATCATGGAGTGCTTCAGCAATCTCACTCAGGTTTTCTCTTCAACTAGAGCCTTTTCATCTGGATCAAGATTTCCCCTCCAACCTCAGGCTCTGCCTGTCTTCAGCTGCCCACTTCTTTCCACCCAGTAATTTCTTTTCTTTCTCTCTCTCTCTCTTTTCCTCACCCGAGGACATTTTTGCATTTATCTTCAGATAGAGCGGGAGGGAGAGAGAGAGGAAAAGAGAGAAACATCGATGTGAGAGAGACACATCGACAGGTTGCCACCCACACGACACCAACTGGGGACAACTGGGGCCGGGGACAAACCACAACTGAGATACATGCCCTTAGCGGGAACCGAACCCAGGACTCTGGTCCACATGGACCGACGCTCTAACTACTGAGCCAAACTAGCCAGGGCCACCCAGTAATTTCTTAATTCTTTCCTTCAGAATCCTAGTATCTCACTCTTGAAACCTCCACTCCTCTGACCAACAAACTCCCAGGTTTAAACAACTCTCTTTTTCCCGGTCCTCATTCCTTGCACCCTCCTTCCCTCACTTTTTAGACACCTACTGTCCCTTAAACTCCGATTTCCTTTGGAAATAATAGTCAACATTTCTCTAGGAGGCAGCATAATGTAGTAAGAGTAACCTAGTGCAAATGCCTTAATCTCTATGTGTATCAGTTTCCTAATCTAGAAATGAGGACAATTATTGTTTCTACTGAATAGGGTTATTTTGAGGATCAACTGAATTCATAGAACTATGCCTGGTACCCAGTAAATTTTTTTTTTTTTTTATCCTCACCCGAGGACATTTTTTCTATTTTTTTGTTCAGGTAGAGTGGGAGGGGGAGAGAGACAGAGAGAGAGAGAGAGAGAGAAACATCGATGTGAAAGGGACACATCGAGTGGCTGCCACCCGCACGACCAACCAGGGCCAGGGACAAACTGCAACCAAGGTACACGCCCTTAGCGGGAACCGAACCCGGGTCTCTCGGGATCGCAGGCCAGTGCTCTAACCACTGAGCCAAACCGACCAGGGCCCCAGTAAATTTTTTTTAAATGGTGGTGTTGTCTTTGCTATTTTTGAGCACTTGATGTAAGGTAATACAATTAACATGTTACACAAGTTACACAAATTACCTTAATTCTAACCTTTACAACAACTCTGTGAGGTAAGTACTGATTTGTCTTCCCATTTTACAGAGCAGGATAAAGAGACAGAGAATTTAAGTCGTTTGCCTGACATTACACAGTTAGAAGAGGCAGTGTTGCTATTCCAACCCTGAGTAGTACCAATCAGATTCAGAGACTGATATCCTTAACTCTCAGTATTCAAAACATGCTTTCCTTCTCGTTGAAATCAAGGCCTATTTCTACTTAGGGAAGGAGGATGATGCAGCTCTGGACCATACTTCCAAACGTAACTTTTACTTCCTCCTGGAGGAAGGCAAATCTTGGAACCAAGTAATACAGGACTAAAGTAGAGCAGACCATAAAAGTTATTTATTTCACCCTGGCTGATTTGGCTCAGCGGTTAGAGCATCGGCCCATGGACCAAAGAGTCCCGGGTTCAAGTCCAGCCAAGGGCAAGGGCACATACCTTGATTGTGGTTCGTCCCTAGCCCTGGTTGGGGTCTTGCAGGTGGCAACCAATCAATGTGTCTCTCTTGCATCGATGTTTCTCTCTCTCTCTCTCTCCCCCTCTCACTGTCTGAGATAAATGTAAAAATATCCTCGGGTGAGGATTAAAAAAAAAGTTCTTTATTTCAATACCTTCCATGAAGTTTGCTGTGCCTGTTGTATGCCACAGGAATAATCAATCACCTGGCATATGTATTCGTATATACTTTGTTTCACTTTTAGTGATCAGATGATTTACATTTTAACAAGATCAATCTGGCTGCTCTGTTGTGAACAGAGGGGGAGAGGGGCAAAGAATGAAGCAAAGAGAAGACCTTTATAATAACTCAGACTTGAAGTATAATGGTGGTTTATACCAGGTGGTAGGGGTAAATATGATAAGTCATCAGTTTCAGAATATATTTTGAAGGTAGTACCATTAGGATTTCTATGAATTGGATATGGGATGAGGGAGAGAAGAGAGCTGAGAATGACTCAAAGGTTTTTTTTTGTGTTAGTTTTTTTGTTTGGTACGTGCCCCTAGCGGGAACCAAACCCAGGACTCTCTGATCCACTGGCTGATGCTCCAACCACTGAGCCAAACCAGTCAGGGTGACTCAAAGGGTTTTGACCTATGCCACAGGAAAGATCAAGTTGTGATTTATGAAATGGGGAAGACTATGAGAGGAGTTGGTGATGAGGTTATTAGGTTTTAGACATGTTAGGTTTTAGATGTCTATTGGACATCCAAGTGGAAAGGTTAAGTTGGCAGATGAATATAAGTCTGACTTTAAGGGAATATGTCCAGGCTGATGCTATAAATATTAGAAATCATTGACATGCAGTTGGCCCTTCCAAAAGCTTATCCTTGAGTGGGCTGGAAACATAGTCACAAATTATGCCATGAGGATTGTCTTCTGGCAAAGCCTAATCCTTCTGCCCCTTCCTCTCTGTCCCCAAGGAGAGAAGATGGGGCTCTCAATCTTTGCCCTGCTGACTCTTACTGTGTTCCTGCTGCTGCTGGCAGACAAAGTGCCTGAGACCTCCCTGTCTGTCCCCATCATTATCAAGTACCTCATGTTTACCATGGTCCTCGTCACCTTCTCTGTCATCCTTAGCGTCGTTGTTCTCAACCTGCACCATCGCTCACCTCACACCCACCAAATGCCCCCTTGGGTCCGTCAGGTAAGAAAATCTCCTTCTCTAGCTTGTATGAACTTTTTTGTTTTATCCTCACCCGAGGACATTTTTGCATTTATCTTCAGATAGAGCAGAGGGAGAGAGGGAGGAAGAGAGAGAGAGAAACATCGATGTGAGAGAGACACATCGAGTGGCTGCCACCCATACCACCCCAACCGGAGCCAGGGAGAAACTGCAACCCAGGTACATGCCCTTAGCGGGAACCGAACCTGGGACTCTCTGGTCCGCGGGCTGACGCTCTAACCGCTGAGCCAAACCAGCCAGGGCAAACTCTTTTTTTTTTTGGTACGTGCTCCCTTCTGGAACCAAACCCGGGACTCTCTGGTCCACAGGCCCACGCTCCAACCGCTGAGCCAAACTGGGCAAACTCTTAATCTTAGTATTTGGCTTCTTGTCTAGGTATGATTTCTCCCACCTACCAGTTCAACCTTCCCTTTCACAGACCTGAGGGAGGACTACTTTTCATGGAGTATTGAAGTGCCAAGGACTGCTGAGTGAAACGTTGCACAATTAAATTTTACCCTCCCATCATCACCATTTCATAGATTCCACACTCTGTTCATTAATACCACCCACCTAAGGTCCTAGGGAACATTCTTGGGGTTAGGTACTATCAGGGTGGAAGCCCTCATAACCTTCCTTTCCAGTCAGCATGCCTCCCAACCCACTTAAGAGCTCTGAAGGCTGTGTGGCTGCATTTCCCTCTCTGTGTAGCTCTGTAGGACATATGCATGCTCAGTAATGGACATGTGGCGTGAGGGTGGTTGGCCGTTTCCCTTCGGTCTAAAAGCATGGGAGCCCCCTCCAACACGCCTTTTCTTCTACTCTGAAGATCTTCATCCACAAACTGCCTGTGTACCTGGGTCTGAAGAGGCCCAAACCTGAGAGAGACCAGATGCCGGAGCTACCTCCTGCAGCCCTCAGGGATTCTCCGAGAAGTGGCTGGGGTCGGGGAACAGATGAATATTTCATCCGGAAGCCACCGAGTGATTTTCTCTTCCCCAAACCCAACAGGTAGAACCTACTCAGGAGAGGGAGAACTACAGCTCCCAGAAGACTGCACGGAAGCAGGTGGCCTAAGCTCCCCGAAAGATGCTGTGGTTGAGCATCATGGGAGTTGTAGTACCCCTTCTGCTGCCCACTTTGCTGAAAGGTGGAAACTGAGACATAGAGGGATGGGAGGAATTACGGAAGGCTGGCGAGGTCACCGCCGCTGGCGGGGAGAGCCTGACAGATTTTGAAAAGAGACAGGGTGTTGGGACCCGGGCTACCACCCGAGCACAGACTGTGTCTAGGCACCCGGGACTAACCAAACGGTCCGCCTCTCCCAGATTTCAGCCTGAACTGTCTGCCCTGGATCTACGGCGATTTATCGATGGTCCAAACCGGGCTGTGGGCCTGCCCCCCGAGCTACGGGAGGTCGTTTCCTCCATCAGTTACATTGCTCGACAGCTGCAGGAACAGGAGGACCACGACGCGGTAAGTCCAGCGAGGGTGGGGCAGAACAGCCTTGGTAGCCTTGGCTTCACCCGCAAACACAGGCTCCGCCTCTAGCATTCGTGCTTTATTTTTTACTGGATGCTTCCCTGATTTGATCCCGCCCCCTGCTTCCCGACTGGTTCTTTTTTACCCCTTTATTGATATTAGAGAGAGAGAGGAAGGAAGAGGGGGAGATAGAAACATCGATTGCCGCCTCCTGCATGCCCCCCACTGGGAATCAGGCCCACAACCTGGGCATGTGCCCTGACCCCAATCAAATCGGCAACCTCTGGGTGCATGAGTTGATGCTCAATCACTGAGCTACACCGGCCAAACTGGTTCTTTACTCTCACCAATCGCAGGTAGTTTAGCTCTCCTGTTTCCCAACCTGCCCTTATCTCAGAGCTGTGGTAGGAGGACCAGAACAGGGTACCTGGGGGCTTGAGGGTGGCCTTCCCTGAGATCTGGAGCTCCTCAGGAACAGTTTACTCTGCCTACCCCCAGTTGAAGGAAGACTGGCAATTTGTGGCCATGGTAGTGGACCGCCTCTTCCTGTGGACCTTCATCATCTTCACGAGTGTCGGGACCCTCGTCATCTTCCTGGACGCCACATATCACTTGCCCCCGGCTGATCCCTTTCCTTAGGACCTAGAGCCAAGACCCAAGTCCTCCGCCAGCTGAATTGAGAGTTTGGCAGTACTATAGAGCCCTATCCCTTTCCTCCTCTTAACTCCTTCACTTGGGATCCAGTCATCTCATTTTGTTTCCAGGAAGAGAGCCCAAGTGGGACTGGGCATTCGGAAACCTTGGACCCACCAGAAATGCAGTTTCAGCTTCTTTACTCCTTGGCTTCTTAAAGGAGCTCTTTTGAATATTAACACTCAGGTTCCCAGTAAAAAGGAACAAAGAACAAGAACTAGACTGTAAGCCTTATGAGGGCAGGAACTGTGTCTTGTTCACTGTAATATCCCCAGCACCTAGCACATGTCCTGCTTAACATTTGATGAATAAGTAGGGAATTTTCTTCTGGAAGGAAATACACTAATTAATAGCATTTATGTTTGCATGTTGGGACTAGTGGTCATTTTTCCTTTGTTTTTACCATTTTGTAACATATTGTATTTTGAAATAAGTATTTAGGATAAAAAGGTTATTTCTAAAAGAATGTATTTGTAACAAGGAGAAAAAAGCCCATTTTAAAAATCCCCAAGTTCCAGCTTTGGTGCTCAAACTTTGGACAAGCTACTAAACTGCTCTAAGTTTCCAAATGTATACAATGAAGCTAATAATAGTATCTACCCCCTACTCCAAGAATCATAGATGAGAAGATGGGAACAAAAGCATTATGCAGTATGTATCAGAGACTGTAAATGTGTTTTGTTTGGCCCATGGCATTGGCCTGAATAATTCTAAATTTGAATTAGTTTGCTTTTTGTTGTTGTTGTTAATCCTCACCCAAGGATATTTTTCCATTGATTTTTAGAGAGAGTGCAAGGGAGGGAGGGAGAGAGAGAAATATTAATGTGAAAGAGACACAGTGATTGGTTGCCTCCTGCAATACCTTGACTGGGGCTTGGTGTTGAACCTGCAACCCAGGCATGTGCCCTTGACCTGAAATCGAACCCATGACTCTTCAGTCTAAGGGCCTGCACACTAACCCTCTAACTGCTGAGCCTAACCAGCCAGGGCTAGTTTGCTACTTAAGAAATTTTGATATTTCACAGAGAAATTTGGATTTCTGGCTTCTCTCAAACTTTTTTTTTTTTTTAAACTATAGTAACACCAGGCCTGATTCCCCTGTTGGCAGCAACCTGCTAGAGCTCATTAGTGGCTGCCCACACTTGTCAATTCCTCAAAGTCCCACCCACCTGACCAGCTTCACTTATTTTACTTTCCCATCCCTCTTTAACAGTAGCCAAAGTACAGGGGAGAGCAGGGGGGACAAAGAGCTGAAGCCATTGGGAGGCTAGGAGTGGAAAAAGAAAGGTTGTTGTGTCTCTTACGGTCATCACATATTTTTTGCCCATTTCCCTTCAATTCTGAGAAAGTTTTGCACCTGGTTTAAAGCAATGCCATTCTGGGACATGAAGATCTTGTGTCCAGCCGGCTGTGTGAACTGAACTGAATTTAATGTTTCTGCCTGGAGGTCAGACCAAAGTCAGCTTGAGCCTAGTAGCTGCTGCAATGATAATGAAGTACCTCATACCTACTCAATTGCTGGAGGTTGTCCTAAAAGGGAGAACAGGCCTACAACTCCCAAGGATCCCTGTGGGACAAGGTCAACATGTCCCTGTCCAGCCAGACCCACCAGCCACCCAAATAATTGCACCTGGCATCCCACTGCGGAGCACAGTTTGTTTGTCTTGTTGGTTTATTGGCCTAGAGTTGGACACACACACAAATGCGGAGATAAATATTGGTCAGTTTCTCTAAATCTGGGTCCTCACTACATATAGAGCTAGAGTCTGTAGAATTCTAAATTTTGCGTGCTGTGGCACAGAACCAGTGGCCTTCCCACTCCACCATCACCCTTCTTCCCAGGGAATATGGGAAAAGAGGACACAAACTGACAAGACGATAATTTTCCAAAGATGAAATTGCAAAACCCCAAATTTCTAACATCTGAAATTAAAATATTCAAGTTCCCCATATCTTTTAATCTCCATTTTGCCTATCTCATTTGTTGCCCAGAACCACCAAATTCTGGGAACTATTTTCCTAAATCACATTTTCAGAAAATAAATGTCTACAATCTCAGTTCTCCTAAAATGGTTTTATAATTTTGATGTGCAGAAATTCAAATTCCCTGGTCCATCCTCAACCCCTTCTGTCTCCTGTGCCTTTTTGCCTCAGTGGAGTTCAGGTTAGGGATATAAGGGGACTGTCATCCCATCTGCCCCCTGCCTCCAAGGCCTTCCTCAGTCTCTCTTGTGGTTCCGCTGTGTGTGTATATATAATTTGTGTATATATACATATATATATATGTATTCTTTATTATGTACTTTTTTTTCGCAGTTTTTCTAAAGTGCCAGAAACAAGATTTGTGGGAACTTTTTAGTGATCTCTTTCTTTCTTTTTTTTTTTTTTTGTATTTTTTTCTTTTTTCTTTTTTTGTATTTTTCCCTGTTTAAAATTTTTTTTTCTCTCCCATAAAAATTGGAACTTGGTACATTCAGTAGGAAAACTCTTCACTCGGACTGTGGCCAAGACCAAGGAAAGTGCAAAGAGACAGAGGAGTAGTGAAGGAGCAACACTCCTCCATGGTTAACATTCAGGGAGTCTGTCAAAACCTCCCCCTTTGTGTAGCCTGGGAGGGTAAGAGGAGGCAGGAGGATGCTCCTGTCCCTCCCCCCTTCACCTCCCTCTAAAAGCCATGATCTTGCCCTTTCAACATCTTTTGAGAGGGCAGCCATCTTGGCCCCAGAAAACAGTAGCTGGGAAAAAGGCTGCCATTGTGACGACAGCAACTTTCCCCCTTTTTAAAACTGCACTCCTCTAATTCCCATTTATTAAATTTGCTCCCCAACACTGGCTCTCCCCTGGTGAGCTGGGTTTTCGGGGGGGGGGGCAGAGAGGGGATGGGAAATGTTCATCCAATCACAGAGTGGGGAGACCCAGTTATCAGAGAATTAGGAGCAAATGTTTCTCCAACAACCCACTGGAAGGAAACATAGGGACCCTGACCAGGGTTAACTAGTGCAAATTAGGGATTAGGGACTATTTAAGGTCCCTGCACCCCATCCCTAAGTTGGGATCTTTGGGTGTGGGGAACTGAATCAAAGATGGGGTATAAGGTGCTATTTTGGAAGGAAAGTTGGTGGGGATACCCCAAAGCCCACCAAGGGAGTTATATGGTTTCCCCAAAACCATCTGGAGTGATTGGTGAGGGAAGTGACACTGGAAAAGATGGGGGTAAAGGTAAGGATGGGAGGTCATGTGCAAATCTTGGGCTTACCCACCCATACAACCCCCATTATTTTTCTGGCTATTTGGTCTAGTCTGGGAGAAACCATCAGGCAAAAACAGGGAGAAAGTAAATTCCCTTCCCCATCCCATATGGAGCTCCTCCCTCCTAGCCCCCAAATCTGGTTTAGCTCAGAAGAGGCCATATGTAGAGGCAGAAAGAGGTGTGATCTACTCACCTCTTTTGCCTTGGAAGAATCTGGGGCTCACTGGATTTGGGGATCAAGATAGAGCCAAGATTGGTGCTGCCCTGGGCTGGGAAATAAACAGATGGGTAGCCCTCCTCCCCAACACCTTGACCTGGATTGGGAGAGGCCATCTCCATAGTCCAGGAGTATGAGGAAGAATATGGAAGATCCAAAGGCATGGAAGCCAAGGAAGGCATGGCAAATCCACCGTCGGAAGAATAGAATCCAAAGCCAAGCTCCCAGGTGGGTGGGTGTCAGGTATCACAATGGTCTGGTCCAGGCCCTGGGCCATGAAGAATGGAATGTGCTAGGAAGCATCTGGGCAAGGGCTTAGAGAAAGCTTCAGAATGAGGGGGATCATTAGGTGAGAGAGATGGTTTCCCCCTAGGTATACGAATCAGGGAGGTGGGTTAGACATTCAGAGCTGGTGGGGGCTGTGAGTAGAGATTCATATAAGTATATTGCTCAGTTGCCCCAAGGGCTGGAGAAGGGGATGGGAGTTGGCCCTGCCCCTCATGGAGGCCATTCCCTGGAGGAGAACCGAGAGAGGAACCACCAAAGATCCCTTCCCAGGAGATAGGAAAACTACAATCTCACACAAAGCAGCCTGACTCCGAGCTCCAGGGGCCCCTAAGTCCCTGCACAAGAGTGTGGAGGGGCTCCCAAGGAGCAGGGAGGCCAGGGAGCTGGTAGTGGTGGGGGTTCAGGGAGGGTGGCATCTGGTGAAAGGGAGATCTGGGCCCAGAGCTCACCCCACATCTCCCTTCTGGGTTCCCTCGACCCCTGCCCACTCCCCTTCTCCCTTAGGGGGGACTGGTGGAGGAAGAGTTGGGGGAGGTGGAGTTGGGGGTGTAGGGGGTACTGCTTGAGGATTGACTGCGTAGCCAAAGACCCCTGGTAGGAAAGGAAGGGCCCCCCCACCCTTCTCATCAGGTAGGACCATGTTAAGAGCAACTGGGAGAGCAGCCAAGTTGCTGAAGTTGTAAGGGTAGGCAGCAAGGAGCTGGGGACCATAGACCAGTGGATAGGGCTCGGGGTAGAAGGTGACTTTGGCAGCTCCTATCCCTTCCATCCGGTCCCCCTCCCCTGCCCCCACTGGCCCTTCACTCCCATGTTTCCCCCTACCACCACCAGGTTCCCGGCCACTTCCAATCAGAGCCAGTGGAAATTCCTGCACAGGTGGGTATGCATAGGTGCCCCCTCCTGCCACCACTGGGGGCTCCTCACCCCCTGAGATGACAGGGTCCTGGACTGAGGCAGTCTCAGAAGCTTCCTCAGCAGCAGCACTCCCACCACCTGCCTCCCCGCTGGATGAGGAGACTTGCATCTCTTGGGGGGCCTCCTCCTTGACATCCCCGGGTCTGATGCCAGTGCTGCCCTTGGAGTAGGCAATGACAGGTGTGGGGGTGCCCCCAGGCCTCTCAGCAGCATGCCTCTGCCCGTGGCGGCTCAGGGCGGCTGCTGTCTTGCACACCTTGGCACAATGAGGGCAGGCAAATCGGGTGGAAGGCCTCCTTCCAGCCCGAGAGCTGTGGGAGCCCCCACTGTGGGCCTCCTGGTGCTTTCGCAGCTTCCTCAGGGTAGCAAATGTTTGGGCACAGTCCCCACAGCGGTGCCTCCGCTCACCACAGGCACGCCCTGCGGGGTCCTCAGCCGCTGGGGTCTCCTCCCAGCTCCTCTGTTCCAGCTTCTGCCTCCAGCGTGGTGGTCTGCGGCCTCTGGGCACCCCGTTGCCCCCGCTGCTGCCTGTGCCTGCAGCTCCACCCTTGCGCTTGGGCTTGTAGGAGTAGTAGGGTCTCCAGAGTTGGTCCTCCCCGCTAGCCTTCGATTCTTCCTCCTCCTCCTCGTCCTCCTCCTCCTCGTCCTCCTCCTCACTTTCATCCACTTCTTCTCCACTCAGTTCCCCAGGACGCAGGTCAGTTTCTGAGATGCGGCGTTTGACAATGGCCTCCTCACCAATTCGCACAGTGATCTGACACAGTGGAGGTGGCACCTGTAGCTGAGGACCCCGGCCAGGCCCTGCAGGGAGACCCCCATCCCCGCCAATCCCACCAGCTGGCTTGGCCATGTAGGTCAGAGTCCTTCCGGCCCGCAGGTTTCGGCCTTTGGCCTCCTCTGTGGCCATGGCAGGCCCCGCAGCTGTTGCCGGACTGCCTGCTATGGCTGGGCTGGTTGGTGTGGGTGCAGGCACTGGGGGAGGAGGTGGGTACTCACGTTTTTTGGGGGGCCTTGGGGGAGCAGTGTAAGTGATGACGGAGGCGGCTTGGGCCCCGCCTGTGCTGGCCAGCACACTCCCTGCTCCACCACCACTACTGCCTCCGTGAACAATGACAGAGGGAGGTGGGTGGGCAAAAGTGATGACGGAGGGTGGGGGGCCAGGCTCTGGGGCAGGTGGGGGTCCAGGTGGTGGGCTGGCTGGCATTGCTGTAGGGGCCGGTGTGTTGAGGCTTGGAGAAAGAGGGGCCTCAGGGGCTCCCTGGCTGTAGGTCTTGTAGGGTCGCTTGGCTGCCCGCATGGGGAGCAGGCGGTACAGCTTGAGGGTATTGAGCTTGGGCTTATAGCCTCCATTGGGTGTCTTCTCACTGGCTAGGAGGCCCGGGCTAATACCATGGAAGGCTCGCTGGTGGGTCTTCAGGTTATAGTAAGTGACAAAGGTCTCCCAGCAGAAGATGCACTGGTACCTGGGCCAGGACAGAGGGAACAGGGCAGGGACAGAACCAGTTGGTCAGGGGCCCTGAAGCCAGAGCCTCAGCTGCCCATACCCTCTACTGCCCTCCACTCAGACCTAGAACTCCTTCATCCACTTGTCCACCCTCCTTTCATGCTGCTTATCCCACCCTGCCAGCCTCAGGAGGGACACCAGTCCAGGCTCAGTGCCCCCCACTCCAGCTGTGGGATGCTGGGCCTCAGCTGTTCCATCTGTGAACTGGGAATAATCACACACCTTGCCTAACTCACAAAGCCTTCTTTTGAAGCTCAAATGACAGAATGTGGAAATATCTTATGAACAGGGACACATTATGGAAATACATATTATAACTACTTGCGGGCATGCCTGCGCCCCCCATAGTCTTTTCCTGTGAGGGAAACTTTATCTTTCCTCCTCAGTCTTCTCTATAGCACCAAGCCAGGACATGGCACCTAGAGGTGCTAATAAGTATCAGCAGAAGGAACTGGGGCTGAAGGGAGGCAAGTGGGTTAAGTGATGAAAAGCAGGTGAGCAAGGCCAGTGGTGAGCAGGAGTCTCAAGATGACTTCCTGGGCTCCATGCTCTGCCCATTCCCTCCCTTGTCCATGTGGTGCCTGAGGCTAACTCTTGACTCCACTGCCCTCACCCAGCCCCCCAGGGCACTCACCTGCGCTCCCCGGTGTGCCACACCTCATGCTTGGTGCGGTACTCAGCAAGGGCAAACACCTTCTCACAGTAGCGGCAGGGGTACTTCCTCCGCCAGGAGTGTACATTGCTGTGCCGCTTCAGGCTGGACAGGGTCACGTAGGAGCGCTCACAGGCCGCACACACATACAGCACGTGGCCGCCCACCACCTTCACCACGTGCTCTGGGCCACCTCTGAAGCCCACTGTGGGGGGTAGGGCTGAAGCATCCACTCCTGTGGGGCCACTAGGGCCAGAGGCCCCCACTCCCAGACCTGCAGAACCCTTAGTGCTGGCCCCCCTACGGCACTGTGCTTCATGGGTCTGTAGCCTTTTGGGATGGATGAAGCTTTTTCCACATCGGGGACAGGGGAGGGACTGTCGGGGCAGAGTGGGCTGCGAGTCAGGGGCCTGGGCCTCAGCCCTGTCACTCCCCCATTCCCCAGCTGGCCTAGGTCCAGGCCCAAAACTATCCTCTTCAGGCTGCGAGGTGACCATGGGGTCTGGGGCAGGAGGTACCCAGGCATCACCTCCCTCCCCCAGGCCCTGTAGGCGGGAGATGCCCAGACGCCGCCCCAGAGCTCCGATCTCTGCTACAGCTGCCCCATCCCCTCCACCATCAGGTAGTGCAAGCCGCGCACTATAGATGAAGTTGAGGACATCAGAGAAGGCAGCTGCTGGGACCCCTGGCAGCTCTAGGACCCGGGGTGGGGACGAAGCAGGGGGCGAGGCTGGAGAAGGAGAAGAGGAGGAAGAGGAGGAGGAAGAGGAAGAGGAGGCAGCTCTGGTGGTGGTAGGGTTCGGGGCTGATCCCCCAATAACTGGTGGGAGGGCTAGTGGAGCTGAAGCAAGCAGGGCCTCTCTGAAGAAGGGACTAGATGCAGCCAGGACGCTGCGGTGAGCAGGAAACTTGGTATCTCCGGCTATGAGGGTGACGTCACAGAAGAGGCCACGGAGCCGCTGCTCATTGAGCTGGCGCAGGACAGCGGGGGCATGGGATGGGTCCGTCACCTCTGCTGGGGGGGGCATGGCGCCAGCCTAGACAGAGAAGAGGCCAGGGGAGGATCTCAGAGGCTGAGCAGAGGGCAGGGGCCTCTGAAATCAGGGAGGTGAGCTGGGAGCGGGTCAGATATTGTTGGTCAGAGACTAGCAGAAGGCCGACTAACTTCTGGTCACGGGGGTTAACCTTAGCCACCCACATCTGGCCAGCATCCAACACCAGTATGTCAAACATTTGGGGCTGGAAGATGCCAGGGATACCTCAGGTCTTGATTAAGGTCAAAGGTTAAAACCTCCAAAGTCACAGACTAGGGAAATAACCAAGAGACACCACTTTCCCACTGGGAAAAGGAAGCCCGCACAACTACTGATGAACATTTCAAAGACTCCCCAGCCTAGACAAAATGGCTGCCCTTGCTGGCCTGCTGTCTCAGGTCCAAATTGTCCTCGCTGCAGACCTCTCACCATCTCACCTGAGAGCACAGCCAACATGGAGCAGAATGGGAGTGGCTCAGCAAGTCCCTTCTGCTGGGCCTCTTCCCTCTGTGAAGAAACAGAAACCATGTCCTCAGTAAGGGAACTGGAATGGAAAGGACCCCAGGAGCTAGGGGATGGTACAGAGCTCAGGGTCAAAGAGGACACTTAGGATGCTCTGCAGACCCCAACCTTCCAGGAGCCTCTGTCAGGTTATTTGCTTATGTCCAATCGGACATAGGAGGTCACACAGATTACTGCAGCCTTATCCTGCTAGCCCCCAGAGGTAAACAAGAAAAGTTGCATATTCCCAATTCACCTCAAAACATACAGCAGCTCAGTTCAGTCGTATAGGTCTAGGGAAGCCTGCTGTATCACTCTCAAGTCCCTTTGGCCCAATCCTGGAGCTCAAAGGAAATCAAACATTTGTATATTGTCTTTTTTATAACGGTCTCATTTACATATCAAAGTAGATTTGCTTGAGTTTTTTTACTGGACAAAGCTGCTAGATATTTAAATTAGGAGAGGACTTCTCACAGGTGCCAGCCCCATAAATCTTTGAGGGGATTTCCGGCCCAGGTTCCAGGAGACCACCAAAGACCACAATTCATGCTCCAGTTTCTGTAGGGCACTGGAAAGGCCACCAGACTGGGGGTGAGGAAACTTGGGTCCCACTCCTTACTCTGAGAGTTGGGGACTTTAGGACTTTGGCTTAAAAATGAGGGGTGGCCCGGCAGGTATAGCTCAGTGGCTGAGTGTCATCCCATGGACTGAGAAGTTCCGGTTCGATTCCCAGTCAGGGCATGCAGGAGGCAGCCGATCGATGTTTCTCTCTCCCTTCCTTTCTAAGAAATCAATAAAAACATTAAAAAGGGGGGGGGGGCAGTGGAGCCTAGCCCATGTGGCTCAGTTGGTTGAGCGCTGTCCCGTGCACTGGGAGGTAGATGGTTTGATTCCCAGTTAGGCACATGCCTGGGTTGAGGGCTTGATCCCTAGAGGGGGCATGCAGGAGGCAGCCAATTGATGTTTCTCTCTTATCTCTCATCAATGTTTCTATCTCTCTCCCTCTCCCTTCCTCTCTCTGAAATCAATTTTACAAAACTTTTTTTAAGGAAAAATCTCTCTCTAAAAAAATGGTGTGGGTGAGGGTGGACACAACCCTTATCTCACCTCTTTCTGGGAAGCTCATCCAAAAGGAAGAATAGGCAACCCAAATGTGAGCTGTGGCAATCACTGCACCGAAGGCCCCTCATAGCTGCTCTCTCCCCTATGGGCACAGCCAGGGCTTTGAGGTTGCATTTTTCAGTTGGAGATCTGAGTTCAAGAGCCATATAGTGATTTAGCCAAAGTCACATAGAGCTGAGAATAACCAGTGGGGCCTGTTCACAGAGCCAGGCCTGCTGACCTGAGAGCAGAGCTCTTGGCCCCTCTCATCCTCCCTCCACAAAGCCTGGGAGCACTCTCCTTCTGGATGCCTTGGGTCACACATGTTCTCTGAGGTGTCCTGCATCAGGACTTCCTCATACGATTTGCACAACTCTCCAAAAAACCTTCTTTTCCCATTTAATAATCAAACTATCTGGATTAAAGGGCATTCCCTCCACAGTCCATTTCAATTTCCCAAAAGACTGCTCTGACTGCTCTCCTGGAGAAGCAGGAAGGTGATAAACGGGTGATATGCACAAGTTCAACAGCCCCGAAGGCCAGGCACATACCTGGGTCAGTGCTGCCCTATCAGTTGATGGACTGCAGATGGGTCTGGTTGGAAAGTGAGGCAAGAGAGCACTCGCTCCCACAACAGTCACGGGTCCACTGGGACCCCCTTTACTTGCATTACTTCATTTACTCCTTCCTCTTCATGACTCTAAAAGGTATCAGTTAGTTTCCCCATTTTAAAGTGACCAACTGAGGCTCAGAGGTGCTAGGTAGCTCACCCAAGAATATATGATCAGCTAGTAGCAGGGCTGTGATCTGAGCCGAGGAAGTTTGGCCTCAAACCCTGTGACTATATCACATCAGGGTGACAGGCTTATTTACAGCTATGATATTGTGAATAGGACTATATATGTTCAGTCTTCATCTCTGTAACAGACACAGAGCTCCTAAAACTCTTGAAATTTCCTAAGTAATAAGAGCATTAGGAGCATCTTTTGTTCTAATTTAGTTGGTCTTTGACCCTGCTTCCTGACACTAAGTTCCCAAATCCCTTGGAATTTCCAGGGTGATAGGAACACTTTTTGTTCAATGACGTGACTGCTGGTGGACCCCTGGATAGGGGCTGGTCACCAGGAAGACCAAGCCATGATTACAAGCTTGGAACTTTCAGCCCCAACCACCCCCCAACTTCTGGAGAGGGGAGAGGGACTGGAGACTGAGTTTATTTATGATCAATTATGCCTACATGATAAAGCCTCCATAAAAATCCCTAAATTGCCCTGGCAGGTTTGCTCAGTGGTTAGTGTCAGCCTGTGGTCCAGAGAGACCTGGGTTCGGTTCCCGCTGGGGGCGCGTACCTCGATTACAGTTTGTCCCTGGCCCTGGTTGGGTTGTGCGGGTGGCAGCCACTCGATGTGTCCCTTTCACATCAATGTTTCTCTCTCTCTCTTCCTCCCACTCTATCTGAACAAAAAATGGAAGAATGTCCTCGGGTGAGGATAAAAAAAAAATCCCTAAACTATGGGGTCAACAGAGCTTCCAGGTTGGCAAACACATCCACATGCTGGGAGGACTGCACACCCCAACTCTGTGGAGACAGCATTCTGCTCCTGCTCTCAGGATGCTTCCAGACCTTGTCCTGTATACCTCTTCCTTGGCGATTCACCTGTATTACTATATTCTTTATTATATAATTAGTAAAAATAAGTATTTCCCTCAGTTCTGTGAGCCATTCTAGCAAATTATCAAATCTGAGGAAGGGGTCGTGGTAAACCCCAATTTGTAGTTGGTCAGTCAGAAGTACAGGGGCCTGGATTTGCAATTGGCATCTGAAGTGGAGGCAATCTTGTGGGACTGAGCCCTTAACCTGTGGAATGTGACACCATCTCCAGGTAGTTAGTGTCAGAATTGAATTGTAGGACACCCAGCTAGTGTCAGAGAATTGATCAGTGTGGGGAAAACCCACATACTTGGTGTCAGAAGTGTTGAGTGTACAGAAAAACAATTGTGTTTTTCTTTCAACAGCATCAATGAGTGCCCCAACTAGCCCGTGTTAAAATTAGAGAAGGGGCCCTTCCTCCAGGAAGTAGCAGTTCTTCACAGGTGAATGAAGCAAAGCAATTCCAGTCCCCACACACCCCCTTGGCCAGGCCTGCCCACCTGCACAACCACACAGGCATGGCGCCTGCTGAGGCATGGCTGTGTGCTGACTGCCAAGATACTTGACAAGGCGTATTGAGGCTTCTTAGACCCAGAGAAGTCCAAAGCTGGCCTGGCCCTTAGAGATCACCTAGAATCATCATAATCATAGTATGTACTTGTAGCTACCATTTATAAAATACTTATTATGCACCAAGTACAGAGCTAAGCATTTTATCTGCATCATCTCATTTCAACATTTAAAAAAAGGACCATAGCCCTGGCCAGTTTGGCTCAGCAGTTGAGTGTCAGCCTATGAACCAGAGAATTCCTGGTTTGGCTCCCGCTAGGGGCACGTACCACCAAAAAAAAAAAAAAAAAGGACCATAGTGAGGCACGGGCTATCATCAACCCCATTGTACAGATGTGGAAACTGGAGCTTTAAATACTCTAATCCAGCAGTTCTCAACCTGGGGGTCGCGACCCCTCTGGGGGTCGAACAACCCTTTCACAGGGGTCGCCCAAGACATAACAGTAGCAAAATTACAGTTATGAAGTAGCAACAAAAATAATTTTATGGTTGGGGGTCACCACAACATGAGGAACTGTATTAAAGGGCTGCAGCATTAGGAAGGTTGAGAATCACTTTCAGGTATAGAAAACATAGCGACAGCTGAGTTGCCACTGGTCTCATTGCTAACCAAGTAGGGTTTGAAACCAGCTCTCTGGAGTTCAACTGCCTCACCACTGGCCGCTGCCCTACAAGGGCTTATGGGAGGTGGAGAACATGCGAGCTCTGTGACCCTGGGCAAGTTACTTAACCTTTCTGTATCTTAGTTTCCTTGTCTATGAGGTGGAGAGAATGAAAAGTTCCCACTTTGCAGGGTTGTTAGAAAGAATAGTGAGCTGATAACTGGTAGGACCTAGAAGAGTGCCTGGCACACAGTAATAACGCTCAGTAAGTGCTAGCTCTTATTGCCATCTTGGAACTTAGTCCCGGAAAATGGTGGGGGGAAGTGGTGAAGAAAAAGAAGCAGAAATCAGACTTCATGGTAGGTTTGGTGGCTCTATGGTTTTTAGTCTTTTATTTTATTTTTTTACTGTTTCTCTACTCTTGATTGGCTCTGTGATCCTAGAGGTGTGATTGAGGTGGGGATCCCAGTAGTGCCACCAGATACACCATCTCTTGCTGCTCCCTTGGCCTGGAATGTTCTTTTCTCAGATAGCCTCAAGCCTTGCTGCCCCAGCTCCTTTAAGCCTAGATTCAAAAGTCATCTCCTCCCTCCTCCACTCCCAGGCCCACCCCGGCCACCCCCTGCCTCCCCAAACTTCCTACCCCTCTTCCCTACTTTATTTTTCTCTTTGGCACTTAGTAAAATATATTGTTCATTTATCTCTAGACTGTAACCTCCATAGGAGGGAGAGTTTTTAAAAATAGTTTATTGATTTTTAGAGAGAGAGAAAGGGAGAGAAACATCGACGTGAGAACACATTGGCTGCCTCCTGCACGCCCCCCACCAGGAATTGAGCCGCAACCTGGGCATGTGCCCTGACCGGAAATAGAACTGGCAAACCTTTGGTGCACTGGACGATGCCCAACCAACTGAGCCACACAGGCCAGGACGGGAGGGAGAGATTTTTGTCTGCTTTGTTCACTGCTATCCCCAGTGCTTAGAACAGTAATGTAATGGGATATATATATTTAAATTTGGTGAATGCATGAACCTGTCTTCTTCAAAGTCTGCCTGTAGTCAGTCCACCCTCAGGAAGGAAGCCATCCTCAGTGCCAGACTGAGTTGGCCAGGAGCAAGGATGATGAGTGTAACCTGACTAATTCTGGGGCACTCACACCTTCCCTGATATACTTTTAGGACTTTACCTGCATTACCTTATTTAATAATTTACCCCAAATGACCATTCAAAGTTGCTATTTATATTATCCCAATTTTACAAATAAGGAAACTGAGGCTCACAGAGGGGTGGATATACCTTGCTCAAGGTCACACAGCTTGTGAGCAGCAGAGTCAAAATTCAAATCCAGGCCTGTGTGAATCCAGATGCTGTGTCTTTCCCTCTTCCATACCGCCGGATCCTGCCCTGAAGGGGCCTATGGCCAGCCAGCGGGTTGCAGAAATCACCACACAAGGTCTCATGTGCCAAATGATAACTGTGTCATGTCTGATTCTGTCCTTTTCCTTGCTCCCCACATCCCGTAGTTACCGAGTTTGATCAAATCTGCAGCCCAGCTTGGGAATGGCTCTGGAAGCCTTCCCTTCAACCCACCTCTGGCCCCCAAACTAGCTCAGGACTTTGTTAACATTCACAGGATCCAAGGCCATGGCCTCCCAGCTATTCCCCTGCCTCCAGGCTTACTATCCAGCCTTCCTCTCAGTAAAGGTCAATGTTCTCAATGCAGCTCAGGTGGTATTACTCCTAGTCTCAGAACCCTTCACTAGTCCCTACTCACTCCAGAATAAAGTTCAAATTCCTCAGCCGGGCATTCAAGGGTCTAGTTCTAATCTTCCTTTCTAATCTCACCTGTGTGAGTCTCCCTTCAAACACCCAGTGTGCTATCCAACCTGAACACATCCTGTAGCTCCATGCTTTTGCCTATGCTGGTCCTCTTGTCAAAAACGCAACCTTTCCCCAACCTCTTCTCCAAAGCCCTCCAAAGTATTAAGATAGAACTCAAATGCCATCTCCCTCTTGACCCTCCCTGATCCACAGGACAAGGACGATCTCTCCTTTACCTGGCTCATCAACATTTTTTTGCCTCTACAGCCAGCACCCAGCAGCAGATATAAACTCACTCCCCAGACTAGGACTCCCTAAGTTACTAAGCACACGAGTCTTCTGAAAAGTACTGGTGCAGGTGCTAAGTTATACAGAAATTGGGGAGAAGTGCGTGCATAGAGAGGCCCACAGAAAGCTTCGGAAAGGCAGTAGAGGACACTGTAGAAGATCACAGAATCTGGAACCTGACTGTCTGCATTCAAATCCAGCTTTACTTCTCACTAGCTAAGTGGCTCTAGGCAAATTACTTCCCTGGGCCTCAGCTGTCTCATCTGAAAAAAGAAAGGTAATTAGAATACCTAGTTCCATGGGGTACTACTAAGACTAAATGAGTGATCATATGTAAAAACTGAGAATACTGCCTGGTACACACAGTAAGTGCTAAATAAGTGTTTACTGCTATTGCTATTAGCCAAGCCCCAACAGGGGCTCAGCGCTGGCAGAGGGCTGACAGTTGCTGGCATAGGCATAGTCCCCAAACTGTGGCTACTTTTCAGGTACATTTCCCATGTGCTACTTTCTTACAACCCTGTTGGAAGATAGGCAGGACAGACAATTAGCCCCATTTTACAGATCGGGAACTGAGGTTCACTCAGGGAAAGTGTCAGCAAGAAAGTCCTGTGCCAGAACCCCTCTTCTAGTCTAGACCTCCTTCCCTTCCACCAGGCAGCGGTGCACCTGTTGTGCAGGCCTCTCACAGCACCCAGAAACCCCTCCATGCAGGAGACCCCAGCCATCGTGCCTTCCTGCGCTGCCTACCCCATGCATATTCACTCTCCAGGCCAGGCTAGGCACAGTACCCAGTGCTGTGCGCACACACACGCACAGACACACACACATACACACACACACACACACACACCTACAAAAGAGCCCAGGCTCCAAAGGTGAGGAAAACCTGTTCTGAGGAATCTGCCTAGTGAGCGAATTCAGACCCTTCCACAGTCACAGGAGCTGCCCAGTATGCGTCACAGAAGAGATGGAAAAGCAGAGATACCAGCAAGGGGGGCAGAGAGAGGGTGAAGCAGGAGGAGGAGACTGAAAACTTAGTGTTTCTTTTTTCCATTTCAGTGACAAGAGTCACACCCGACCTTTACGTAAACATGACCAAGGAGCCACTGTCCAAGCTGTTTCCTTGCAGCCGCCAGGCCTCTCCTCCCAGTGACCCTGACACGCTGGGCAAGCCAGTGAGAGGAAAGCTCACAGACCCTGCATAAAGACTAGCTGGGCCACCCAGACGACACCCAAGCCTCCCGCCTGCTGTCCTTGCTCTGCCCCATATTTATCTCCCAGCCTTCTTCCTAACATAGCCCCACAGCAGCCTCACAAGGCCACTTAAACACACAAAAGGCAGGCACGCACACACAGCTTGCGGCTGATCTCTTGAGGCTGAGGCCCACATGCCCTTGTCACGCCACCTCCCTCCCCACAAGTGTTTTCTGAGCAGCTTGCCTCCCAGCCCAACAGCACGGACAGGCTCCCCACAAACAATGTCACAAAAGAATCCCTTAGAGAATGTTGCACACACACAATCTTCCCCTCACTAGGCTGCCCATGATCCTATAAACACAACCTGCACATTCCACCCAGAGCCCCTCACACCAGTGCCAGCTGCTCCACAAGTACTTGAGACACACCCTAGGGTTTCTCAAGTCCCACATGTAGGTGGTACCTGAGTTCTAGACGTGCACTGTGCACCGACCCCCATGCAACCCATTCATCACAGACACAGGAACCCATCCAGCAGACAGTCCTCACCAAGACTGGACCACACCTCAGCAGCACAGAAATGGGACCCAGAAGTGACACCTTCCAACACAAAGGTAAACAACTGCCCCTCCAAATAGGCACATACAGCCTGCACTCTGGTGCTGTCCAGAGCTCTTACACCAGCTAGCTATGCAGAAAACAACAGTTCATAAATAGTTTATATGTGCAGTAGGTAGAAGAAAACATGCTGATATAAAACATGCCTAAAACCCCACATCTAACAAACTCCGCATGTATTGTACCTTGCTTGGAATGTGGACCTGTCACCCAAAGCCACAGGGTCACATGTTGTAATTCTGCCCCATAACACTGGACACCCCACTATCTGGCTTTCTGTCCCCATGGCCCAGGGAGGGCCCTACCCAGACCCCTGGCTGCCAGACCAGCAAACAGTGGTGCGCAAGAGAGGTTTACCTTGCCCCACAACACAGCAGGAGACGCACAATCTCCAGGACTCACAGCCACAACCCTGCCCCGACGGCGCAGCAGCTCCGGGGTCCCTGCTCGTCCTGCGCACCCCGCACACCCTAACTCTGGGGCGCTCACTGGCCCACCCCTCCCCCTCTCTGCCTGGCTCCTACGCCATCGCCCTCCCAGCAGCTAGCAGCGCCGGCCCGGGCTCACACCCGCCCAACCCTACCCCCAACTTGCCCCAGAAGGGGAAGGGGACATTCGGCTGCAGAATTAACCTTTCAAATAGGGAGCGAGGGAGGCCACTTCCCCGGCCCCCTGCGATCGCGCCTCCCCCGGCCGCCGCTGGGTCGGACTCCGTACCAGGGCCCCTTAGTCTCCCCACAGCGCCGTGCGCGTCTGGAGGCGGGGCCAGGCTCAGCCCCCGACCCCTGAGCCCCCAGGTCAACCCCAAAGGGTAGCGGTCGGGCACGGGGCGCGACCCTGGCCCCCGCGGCGCCGGGCAGCGGGGAGGGGGCCCGGCTGTTGGCTCCGGTACGCCCTGGCCCTGCCCGGTTCGCCCGGGGCCCACCTGACTGCGATGGCGCCGCGTCCGCCAGGCCCGGCTCATCACCGTGGCCGCCCCCGGCAGCTCCAGTTTCGCCCGCCTCCAGCTCCGGCTCCGGCTCCGGCCCCCCCAGCGCCCGGCCCCGGCCCGGCCCCGCAGCCGCCGCCGCCGCTGACATCATCGGCTCCCCCCCCACCCCGGTCCTACCCCCACCCCCACCCCCGGAAACAGTCCCCCCCAGTGTGCCGCTGCCGCCGAGAGAAGGCCGGCGTAGCGCCGCCGACACCAACACAAGGCTCCGGGCTCGGGTTGGGGCAAGCGCGCCCTACAGCCTTTGCCCGGACCGATCCCGGGAGGAGGACGGCTGCTCGCAGGACCTCCGGACGGCTGGGCATCCAGCGGGGCGCGGGCCTGTCTGCAGCATTCCTTCAGGATCGCACGACCACCCACTCCCTAGGAAGGGACAGCACACACACACACACACACACACACACACCAAATGCCCTTCACTCAGCTTTGCACACCGCCCAGAGCAAGCACACACTCTCAGGGCGCAGACCCACAACATGGCAGGCTCGCAATCAGGCCCCGTTGGGACCCGCAGAGCCAGGCTCAACGCACTCACAGGGCCAGCACACACACACACACACACACACACACACACACACACACACACACACACCCTCCTCAGATATTCAGAGGACCCCCACCAGGCCTGGGGCCAGGAATGCCCCAGCTTCTCAGAACAGGCAAAATTTTGACTAGGACAAAGTACCTAGCTGCGCAGATGAACACGCAGCTAGGTATTTTGTCACTACCAGAGAAAATATCCAATTCTATATACTTGTCCATAAATGCAGAGGTCAGAGGTTGTGGTGTGGGCCTCCTGAAACAGCATGAACAAAACAGGTGGAAGCACACACGTTAGAAACACTTTCTTGAAACTCCAGAGGGACAGTCCCAGAGACTCGTCCCTGGTGTTCAAAAATTCAAAACTCAGGAGACAGAGGAACCAGCCCTCAGAGCTCCTTTCCAAAAAAATCTTTTTGAAACAAGGTGAGACAAACAAATTAATTTAAAACCAAAATAGTCTCATCACAGAGCTAGTCATAAAGAGGGGAAAAAATCAGAAAAGCTTTGGAGTCACAGAGACATAGATATAAAGCAAGCAGAGTTGGACACAACCAGAAAATAGGCTACCCCCATATTAGGGAGGTTCTAGGGAAGAACCTCCCATCCCCACCTCAGGAAGATTCCAGTGAAGAACCCCACCCCCTCTCCAACCAGGTCACAATGGCTGGAGCTCTAAAGGGGCACAGGGGCCCTGAGCCAGGAAGAGAGGAGGAAGTCCAAGGAAATATGACATGAGGGCTAAGGGGGTATAGAGCCTCCTTCCCTGTAACTCCTGGCTGCTCCATTTCCCCTCCTCCCCAAAAACTTCCCAGCTGTCTTAGAGAAGAAACAAATGAAAATAATAATGGTGTGCCCAGATGTCCCTGGAACCTGTGATGTCACATAAACACATAGCATCTGAGGCCCACGTTCCCTTCCTCAAACCAACAGAGCATCCCTGGGTCCTCTTTTTCTCTTCCCAGGAACAACTTACCCAGAGAAACACAGTGCTCCAGAATGGCTCACTCCCTGCTTTCTGCATTAGAGACTCAAAGCCCACACTGTACTACTACCTCATTCATCTTTCAGGCCCTTTCTAGCTCCCGAGTTCCTTAGCAAAGACAACTTGTCCCTCCACTGTCCCACAGGGTCCTAGACCCCAGCCTGACATTTGCTCTGCCCCTGGTCTCCTGGACTATGGCTGCCCTAACACCCGAGCTCCTTTCTCCCTAATAGGCTGGCAGTCACCCCTATTTCAACCTTCCTGACTTCACCAAGCCATTGCTGCCTCCACTCTGCCCAGCCTCCCCTGGCACCTGTACTGCCACCAAGGGCCTGATTGTGGCCCTGTTGAGTGGCCCGCTGGCTTCATGGGCCCTTTCTCCCAGGTGGCTTACCAGACTTCCCACTAACCCTTGTTGAGCTGCTCATCTCTCTAAACCTCTTCCACCTCCCCTTTGCCTTGCCTTTGCCTCCATGCCCTTTTCACTGTCTTCAGCACTGGATATATCAGTTCAAGTGATGCCAGTTGGCAATGCTGTCATTGTCCACAAAGGTTCTTCCATCATCTGCTCTGCTTTCCTCGCCCTCTGTCTTTTTTTTTTAATTGTTTTATTTAATTAATTAATTTATTTTTAATCCTCACCCGAGGACATTTTTCCATTTTTTGTTCAGATAGAGTGGGAGGGAGAGAGAGGAAGAGAGAGAGAGAGAGAGAGAGAGAGAGAAACATCGACGTGAAAGGGACACATCTAGTGGCTGCCACCCGCACAACCCAACCAGGGCTGGGGACAAACTGCAACCGAGGTACACGCCCCTAGCGGGAACCGAACCCAGGTCTCTCTTGACCGCAGGCCGACACTCTAACCAAGTGAGCCAAACCGGCCAGGGATCCTCGCCCTCTGTCTTAAGAGCCAGGGTCTGTCATTAGGACCATTGTGGCCTGCTGGGCAGCATGGTGGTACTAATCATCATTGTGGGACCAAGTCTACGGACACAACAGAACGGGATAAAGGGCCTCTACACCACCCTGAGGTATGTGCCTGCTTCCCTGGGCAGCCTGGCACTATTGCTGGGGCTTCTGGTATATCTTTCCCTGGATTTCCCCTCCTGCCTATCACAGTGGCCTTCCTGTTTGGCTTGGTGGACATGGTGGGCTCCATACCAGGCCTATTTCTGATGCAGACCCCTGTGCTGCCCATTGATCCTCTGAGTTGGAGCTGTGTGGGGCAGTGGTGATCCTTGACCTGGTCTCCTTTGTGTGTGTGAACTATGCGGTCACCAAGGCCCACCCTGCCCTGGTGTGTGCTGTCCTGCACTCTGAGGTGGTGGCGGCTCTGATGCTGCAGTATTATGTGCTCTAAGAGACCACGGCAACTTCTCTTTTATTTTTTATTTATTTATTAAATTTTTTTAGAGAGAGAGAAGAGGGGTAGAGAGAGAAACATTGATTGGTTGTCTCCTACACACACCCGACAGGGATTGAACCCGCATTCCAGGTATTTGCCCTGATCAGGACTTGAACCCGCCACCTCTGGTGTACAGGAGATGCCCCAACCAACTGAGCCATACTGGCCAGGGTGAGAAGGTGGTAACTTCTGACACCATTGGGGCAGTGGTTGTGTTGGGCCACATTACCATCACCAGGCCCAGAATCTCAGCTGTGAGAGGGCAGGGCAGGGCAGTTGGAGGAGTGAGACTGACCTGAGAGCTGGGGGTTGGGGTGGGGTGGAGCAAGGGTAAATGGAGACGGGAATAAAAATATGGGAGAACAAGTGACTGGAAAAGAACTGTGTGGGAGAGGGACACCCCTTGGAGTCAAGGGTAACTTGGGGCCTTGGTGGAAAGGGACTGCCTGGACGACCTGGAGGAAGCCTCGGGACCAAGAGATGTGGAATCTAGGCTGGGGCTAGAGGATCAGGGAATAACTAAGGGGTAAGGTCTGAGAAACAGATCAAAGGAGCCGAGGAAGGCAGGCCAGGAGCATGGGAAGATTTTCCCCTGGGCAACAGGGAGAAGAGCCTTGGGGCTGGAGTGTTCGGAGCTTTCAGGCAAACAAAGCACGCAGCTGCAGGGTGGCGGGGGGGCGGGGTTGTCTGCCTTTTCCCTGAGTGAGATTTCCCTTTTCGGTGGTTGCCCCCCCTCCCCGCCAACTTGGGGTGGTGACGTGACATTGACATCAAACAAGGATCACTCTGAATGTGCCTGTACAGTTTATGTCATCTGCTTTGGAAGGATAGTGGAAGTCTTACTCCGCCTCTCCCTATCTTTTTTTCTGAAATATTCTTGAAGGGGGAGGATTCCCTAACGTTCAGATGCCTTGACCCTGAATCCCCCAGGGTTTGTGTCCCGCCCCATGGCTAATCTGCTTTTCCTGGATTGTCACGGTCCCGTGATCGCTCTCCCAGACAGCGGCCAGCCTCCTTCCGGAACAGGCCTCTCTGAGCTGAGGTCTCTTTGAGTGGCTCCGGCTGGGGATCCCGGACCAGAGTTCCGTACAGGGCTTCATTAGCGGCCAGGAGATGCCCACTAGTCCCAGGAGGTCTCTCGACAAATAGGTACCTCCGGACAAAAAAAATCGGTCTCGCCATCTTGATTTATTCATGCATGTTCAGCGTGATGACTGCATATTCATGACCAAGGACGGCCCCAGCACTACCCGCTCCGGGAACCCCTACCGGCCCGCCTTCTTCATTACCGATTCGCAGAACAGACCATTTTCCAGAGGGGGGGATATTAAAGACAAACTTTTGCTGAAGATGAAAACACACTCCAAATTACACTAAAAGTGGCCTATCTTTACCCTCGACCCTTCAAACCTTCAACTTCAGTGCGGGAGTGGGCAGCTTGGGGAAGTGGCGAGACAAAACTTCCCCTCCCCCGTCATTTCAAAAGGTCGCTCAACCAGGGTATCGGGAAGGGAGGAGCAACTACTGGAGCGCGCGCCCGGTACAGGCAGGCGCAGACGACCCTGCAGCGCAAGGGAGGGCGGGAAAGGAAGGGGCGGGGTTGTAGGGAGCGAATCTATAAAGGGCGTCATTCGGTCGGTTCGCTTCTCAGAAGCGCCGAGAGCGCGGCCGGGACGGTTGGAGAAGAAGGTGGCTCCCGGAAGGGGGAGAGACAAACTGCCGTAACCTGTGCCGTTCAGGAGCCCGGTTATTTATTTATTCGTTACCCTTTTTCTTCTCCCCCCTCCCAAACCTTTTCCTTCCCCTTCCTCTTTTTTTTTTTTCTTTTTTGAGAGACGAAAAATCTCCGGAAAGGGGGAGGAAAACTCCTTTCGCTCTTTATTTCCCCGCCTCCTTCCCTCCCCCACCTTTCCCTCCTCCGGCTTTTTCCCCCCAACTTAGGGAAGGTCCTTCCCAGTGGCCGCCCCGACGGGGTCTGAGCACTTAGGCGGAGGCGGCGCAGGCTTTTTGTAGTAAGGTTTGCGCCTGCGCAGCGCGCCTGCCTCCGCGATGCATGGGGGTGGCCCCCCCTCCGGGGACAGCGCATGCCCGCTGCGTACCATCAAGAGAGTGCAGTTCGGAGTTCTCAGTCCGGATGAACTGGTAAGCGGCTCTGCCCTCGCACTCTTCATCCCTCCTGCACAGCGGGCGGGGTTTGACGTTAGCAACGGAAACTTGGCGCTTCTCGCTGCCCTAGGTGACAGGCAGGGGGGGAATGGGTTTAGCAACCCCAAGGCAGTGCGGGGTACAGCCTCGCGGCTTCCCAGAGTTAAATTTTGCTAGGGTGTGAGCCTGGCCACAGGTGAGGCTGAAGGGTGAAAAGGAGGGACAGAAGGGTGACTGACACCATCGCAGAGATACCGACGCTAAAGGAAATAATACGAATTCTAGGGGCCCTTTGCAAGTTTAGATAAGCCGAGCCCCAGATTTTTTTTCCCTCCCCGTCTATAAATACTAACTGAGCACCTTTTAAGTGATAGACACAATAGATGCTGGAGATGCAGATCTGAACAAGAAGATCAAGGACCCTGTCTTTTAGAGCACTTTCTGTGGGAAGGAGCAGGGGAGACGCACAAAATATACAAACAAGTGAACGAACAAGATAATTAAGTTAATGGAACAAGATATTTTAGTTAATGGGAAGTACTTTGAATAAAAAGAAAGTGGAATTCGATGGAGAGTCACTGAGGTGAGGCTACCTTAGATGGAGTGGTGTCAGGGTCTGGCTGAGGAAATGGCATTACCTGAAGGATGAGAAGCAACTAGGCCTGAAGGAACGAATAAACTTGGTGTGTCCCAGGGGCTAAAAGGCCAGTGTGGTTGGGATTCAGTGGGTGAGAAGGAGAGAATTATCCAAGTGGGTTGAAGAAGCGTGAGGTGGGGCAGGCCAGGTGGAATATTGTAAATCATGGCAGAGAGCTAGATTTAAATTTTTCTTCTTTTTTTTTCTCATTATAAATTTGCCTTTTCTGGATAAGTCATATAAATGTATCATATGAATGAATATGTAACTTTTTTGTTTGGCTTCTTTCACTTAACATATTTTTTTTGTTGTTCTGTTTTTGTTAATTCTTACCCAAGGATATTTTTTTCCATTGATTTTTAGAGATAGTAGAAGGGAGGAAGAGAGAAACATCTATGTGAGAGAGACAAGTCAATGGGTTGCCTGTCGCACATGCCAGCACTTGGGTTGGGGGATTGAACCTGCAACCCAGGTACTGCCCTTGACTGGGAATCAACCCCTCGGTCCAGACCACACTCCAACCACAGGCCAAACTGGCCAGGGATAATTTTATTTTTGATAGGAAGTCATTGGAAAAGTATAAGCAGGAGAATGACATCAATTTTATATTTTTTAAAAATGCAGCTGCTTTAGTTGTCCTGTGAAGAACCTATTGGGGGAGAGCTCTAGGCATGGAAGCAGGAGAGTTCAGAGAGGAAGGTAGTTCTAGGGGAAAGCTGTTGGTGACTTGGATTCCTTTTGTGGAGTGGACAGGAGGGAGTCATTTGGCTGGAGAAAATGGAGTTGAATGGCCATGTTTGTGGATGGAAGCAATTTTGCTGGAGGAGAAGGCTCAGCTCTGAAATTTGTGTCTGGACTTAGAACCTCCTGAACTCACACTATACCACAGAATACATTCCAACTGGAGATAAGGTTTAACTCTAAAAAAACCCCCACAAACCTGTGAAGCATTAAAAAAAATATAGAACGCTTTTGGCGTTGGTACCAGGGATAGAAACCCTTAATAGTAATGGATTAACTATAGGTACATTTTATTGAGTGCCTACATAAAAATACGAGCCACCTCTATTTATCAGAGACACCATGGATATCTAAAAAACAGGTATTTGCAATGTGACAGACAAGATTAGACTTCTTAATATACATGGATCACTTACAAATCAGTAAGGAAAGCACATATCTGTCTACTTGACAAATGGATAAAAGATACGAATAGGCAGTTCACAGAAGTAGTACAAATGGCCAATAAAAAATATCAGTTTACTGATAAAACCATGCAAATTAAAATAAATTTCTTTTTGCCCTGGCTAGTTTGGCTCAGTGGTTCTAGCGATGACCCTGGACTGAAGGGTATCGGGTTCAATTCCCGGTCAAGGGCACGTGCCTGGGTTGCAGATTTGATCCCTGGCCCTTGTCGGGGTCGTGCGGTAGGCAACCAGTTGATGTGTCTCTTTCACATCAGTGTTTCCCTCCCTCCCTCCTTTCTTCTCTTGTCTAAAAACAAATCGATGGAAAAATATCCTCAGGTGAAGATTAACAAAAAAATAAAAAATTGTTCCCTGCTGAATAAAATAATGGGATATAGATATGCTTATACATTGTTGGCAGGAGGATAAATCGATACAACTTTTTTGGAGGAGGGTGATAATTTTATGAGAAGTTTAATGCACATATTCCTAGGTGCAGCACTACTTGTTGAATGCGCCCCTCCCCCAATCTTACCTTTAGCAAGCAAGCAATGGCTCCACTATTCATCCAGTTGCTCAGGCCAAAAACCCAAAAGCCATCTTTGATTCTTCTGTTCCTTAGAACCTCCACTCAGTCTATCTGCCAGTCTGTCAGTTCTGCCTTTCAAAATATGTCTAGAATCTAGCCATTTATGACTATTTCGACCACCATAGTCTACCCTACCATCATCTTTCTTGTGGAGTACTGCACTAGCCCTAGCCCCAGTTCCTCCTACAGTTTACAGAACAGCTAGAGAGATCTTTTCATATCTCTTCATGGAATCCTCTTCGAAGGATCCATACCCCTTTTATGGTGACCTATGAGGCTCTGTATTATCTGGCCTCTGCTTGCTTCTCCATCTCATTATCAATCTCCTCTTTGCTCTTCTTTAACCACACTGATCTGCTTGTTCTTCCAGCACAACAAACTCATTTCTTTCTCAAGGACTTTATTACTCACTGTTCCTGGTGCTCAGAACATCATTGCCCAGACTTCCTCAGGACTGTTCCTTTATATCATTAGTAGGTTCTCTGCTCAGTTGTCCACATCAAGGGAGTTCTTTCCTGACCACCCTACTTAAATGATATGCTCCTGCATTCTTTTTTTTTTTTTTTATCCTCCCCCGAGGACCCTCCCCCCCCATTTTTTGTTCAGATATAGTGGGAGGGAGGGAGTCCGGGGTCAAAGCTCCAACTGCTGAGTCAAACCAGCCAGGGCATCCTCTTGAATTCTTTAACCCCTAGTCTTGATTTTATTTTACTTCACAGCCTGTCACTACCTGAGAGGATTAGTTTTTCTTTGTTTTTGCTCCCTTAATAGAATGT